CTCTCATCTCTTTTCATATGATTGTGTGTGTGTGTGTGTGTGTGAGAGAGAGAGAGAGAGAGAGAGAGAGAGAGAGAGAGAGAGAAACTCACTCTATAGCCCTGGCAGACCTGGAACTCATTATGTAGACTAGGCTGACCTCAAACTCTTAGAAATCCACTTGCCTCTGCCTCCTGAGTGTGGGATTAAAGGCATGGGATTGAAGTGCCAGTGTGCTCAGTTCCATGAATATATATGTATTTTTTTTTGTCTTTTTGAGACAGGGTCTCCCTGTAGCCCCAACTGATCTGGAACTCACTATGTAGACCAGACTGGCCTTGAATTCACAAAGGTCCACCTGCCTCTGTCTCCCAAGGGCTGAGATTAAAGATATGTGTTGGCACCATGCTGGGCTCCAATGAATATTTTTTTCCAGCACCACCATAACAGGTGTCAAAACACATTCTGCATGGACTAATATATTATGGAATTAATTTATTAAAGATTGGAGGAAAATGTACATTTTGGGTGCTAAGATTAGTGTGATTTTTAGCAACTTAGGAATTGTGGAAATTGGACCAATTTTTGATTTTTTTTTTTTTTTTTTTTGGTTTGTGCGTCTTTTTTGAGACAGGGTCTCTTTGTAGCCCCAGCTGTCCTGGAACTAACTATGTAGACCAGTCTGGCCTCGAACTCACAAAAATCTGCCTGCCTCTCCTTCCCAAGTGCTGGGATTAAAGGCGTGCACCACCACACCCGGCATTTTTGATTTTTTAAAAAATTTTATTATTTTTATGTGTATGAGCGTTATGCCTGCATATAGGCAAGTGCACTCATGTCATGCAATGCCCGCGGAGGACAGAAGAGGCTGGTGGATCCCCTGGAACTGTTACAGACAGTTGTTAACTGCCATGTGGGTGTTGGGATTCGAACTTGGGTCTTCTGTAAGAACAGTGTTCTTAACCACTGAGCTGTCTCTCCAGCCCCCAGTTTTTGATTCTTAAGAACTTTGTGTACTACACCTGTAATGCTGATGTCAGGTGTTTGTGACAGAGCTCATTCCATTGCTTGGTAGACATTAATGCCATTGGCACTGTACACTCTGAGCACTGGCTTGTGCTTTCAGCTTACTTAATTGGTCTGTGTCCTAGTTTGTCTCTCCATTCCCGTGACAAAACACTCTGACCACTACCAACTTGGGGAGGGTTTATTTTATCTTACATTTCCTGGGTCACAATTTATCAGGGAGCCCAAGGTAGGAACTCAGGGCAGGAGCCTGGTGGCAGGAGCTAGGGCACAGGCCGTGGAGGAATGCTGCTTACCGGCTTGCCTGGCCCCTGCTCAGCCTGCTTTCTTATGCAACACAGGCCCACCTTCCCATGGGTGGCACCACCCACAATGGCCTGGGCCCTCCCACATCACTCAACAATCAAGATGCCCCATGGACATGGCCACAGGCCAGTCCAATGAAGGCAATTCCCCAGGTATGTCAAGTTGACACTAAAGCTATCCAGCAGTCTGCCAACTTGGTGGATATATCTCAGCTGAACCTTGTACCGTTTTTGTTTTTTTTTTTTTGTCTTTTTGAGACAGGGTTTCCCTATAGCCCCAGCTGTCCTGGAACTCACTAGGTAGACCAGTGGAACTCAAGAGATCCGCCTGTCTCTGCTGGGACTAAAGGTGTGTGACACCATGCCCAGCTTAAGTACCTTTCATTATGAGCACAACCCTTGATCCCACTCTTCCATTTTGGGAAACTAGCCACAGGAATTAGCAAATGTGCTGATTCCACCAGCAAAAAAGGCTACAGTCCCAATATCCTAAATCAGAGGACTGACCTAGAGTCTTGGATAATCAATGAAAACCATACTGCAGACAAGTGTTGACTGATGTGGAAGCCATAGGAGCCAGTGTGAAAATCAGGTTAGAAAATTATATGGTGGTAGCACACACCTTTGATTCCAGCAGCACTCAGGAGGCTAGAGGAGGGTCAGGAGTTACAGGCTGGCCTGAGCCACATAATGAGATCCTGTCTTAAGAAAGTGGGAGCAAATTCTACATAAATTTTTTATTTTCACAGATTTGGAAGAATATACACCAAATGTGTAACTTTGGCTGTTTCTGTGTAGATGAACCTTAAGGTATTTTGTTATTTTTGCTTATGTATAATTCCTAACTCATCTAGCAATTAAATAAACTATTAAAAGATATTGGAAAACTTAGGCTAGGAGGATCATGAGTTCAAGATCACCCTAAGCTACAATAGTGTTTAAAAGTCTGTCTCAGGAAAATTATATATATGGCATGACATTTGTTAAACAAATCATGAATTTCCTCATATAATGAAACATGGTGATCACAGAATACCTAAAAGTGTAAATTTTCTCATATATCTACTTATATGACACTGCCTATGCTGTGATCAAGACTTCAGGTCCTGAGCTTGACAGCAGGGTTACAACTCAGAACACTGCAACTCAGCTGAATGACCTTAGCCATGGTCCTAGCCTCTAAATCTACACTGTCATCTGGGTGACAGGGATAGCCATAATAGCAATCTCACAGCTTTGCTAAAGGGCCCATAATATGCAGGAACATGGAATGAACTGTGGTGATACAATGCCTAGCATTAGTAACTGCTAAGTTACTAAGGAGATGTAACATGCTTTCTTAAAGGGGCCAGCAGGTGCCCATGTACACTTAAAGCAGAAGCCCCTGCCTAAGTCTAGAGTATACCATTAGGCCTTCTGAGACCTGTGCTGTGCATCCTGACTGGCTTTATCAGTGACGGGTGCAGGTAAGCACAAATGCAGAACTCCTGGGCCACTCACCTTCCTGGGGCCTCCTCGGTTGAGGTTTTCGAAGGTGCTGGTTAACTTTGTTAATAAGTTAAAGCACAGTGCTCAGGGAGGCCAAAGGTCAAGGTCTAAAGCCCCAGAGAAGGAAGTATCCCTCCACAGCCCACTGGAGAAAGAAGACACTTCTAGGCCATACATATTTATTTGAAAACAATTTCAAAATTATATCCGAAACTCAGAAGCCACAGGTCAGTACAGATAAACAGAGGAGGACTTCGCCAATTGCTCATTTAATTCAAAACTTTAACCTGATTTTGGGAAGTAGTGCTTTTCCAGTTCCCATGGTAAGAATCAATTGGAGTGTTCTGTAAACACAGCAGCCCTAGAGATTAGTATCATTAATTATTCATGGTGGAGGGTCAGAGCCAGCAGTTTCTAAGTTTTTGATTTAAAAATGCCTCCAGATGACTATCATATCCATGAAAAGTTTGAGAAATATTGACAGAATTTGACTTTCACTTTCCTTTGACATTCTCAAATCTTGAGCTACTGACTTCAGAATGACTTTTTATTCAGTTCAGTTTTAGGGAAGGAAACTACAACTCCTCGAAGTTTAGTTTGACACATTCTTTTCTTAGGCATTATATATTCTTTATTTTGGTTTTCCCATTTCTGTTCCAGCTTTTTCAGATCATAGTTTTTTTGAAGGGTCCACCTCCTTGACGGAGGCTAGCAATCCAATGCAACAAGTTTTTAGAATGGGTTTCTATTAAGATCGTCACATTTAATAACCTTTGTTCGCTTCTGTCTCCCTTCTGTTCTGGCACGTCTTTAAGAAGTCTGGGCTGTACAGACTCAATATTCTGACTTTTCCACCTTAAACCTCATACTGACCACCCCGTCTATGCCAGCCTCGATCTCGTCATTTTCTTTAACTTGCCCAACTCCCTTTGGCGTCCCAGTTAAGATCAGATCTCCTTCTTCCAAGATCATTATCTTGGAAATGTAGCTGATGATGTAGGGGATGGAAAAGATCATTGACGATGTCATGCCCTCTTGCCTGAGCTCACCATTGACCTTGAGCCACAGTGTCAGGGCGTGAGGGTCAGGAATCTTCTCCTTAGGCACGAAGGCGCTGACCGGGCAAGAGGCCGTGAAACTCTTGGCCAGGGTCCAGGGCAGCCCCTTCTTCTTGCACTCTTCCTGAACGTCTCTGGCGGTCATGTCCAGGCACAGGGCATAACCCGCCACGTAGTCCATGGCGGCGGACTCGGGGACAGCGTGACCGCGCCTGCCCATAAGCACACCCAACTCCAGCTCGTGATGCAGGTTGCGGGAGTAAGCCGGCACCAACACCGGCGAACCCTCGGGAGCATACGCGGTGGACGGCTTCAGGAAGAGCACAGGCTCACTCAGCACGGTGCTGCGCATCTCTTTGACGTGGTCTGCGTAGTTCCTTCCCACGCACACTATGTTCTTCCCCCACTCCCAGAAGCGCGACAGCGGTTTGGGGGTAGCCATGGTGCAACCTCGGGTCACGTGACCACAGACTCTGGTGACTACGGCGGCCCCGAGGAGACTCGCCGCCTCTGGACGCTGTTCGGCCAGCAGTGGCCCGTCCCACCTTGCGCAGCAGCAGGACGCAGCGGTCAGATTTCGGCCTCTACGCACCGACGTCAGCCGGGGCGAAGTGTGGAAGCACGAGCGCAGCCTCCTATGACCTCTGACCCCGGCTACCAGACTCGGCCTTGGGCCCGGCGCTGCTAGGGCGGGGCAGAGAACGCTTTGGACAGCGTGCTGATTGGTGGGGCGGCTCGATGCAGGCACTGGTTGGCTGTGGGCAGCATGGGGCGGGCACCGACGGATTGGGGGCGTGGTGTGGCAGGAAAGCAGGAACTAGTTGGGGGGGCGCGGCGGGGGGGGCGGCGGTGCGAGGTGGGAGCTGATTGGCTGCGGCTGCTGACGCCAGAGTTGCTGCCCTAGGCACCCGTGTCGCGGAGTCCGCGACCGGGTGGTGCACCCTGCGGGTCATGGTCCTGGGGCGCGGGCCGCTGTGCCTTCTGAGACTGTCCGCGTTGGGAGCTGCCTGTGCGCGCCGCAGCCGGGGTAAGTGTATCTGGGCGGTGATGCCGAGCCACCCCGCACTGGTAGGCGGGACGTCGGTTGGGCGCGTCTCGGGCTCAGGTACTGGGCGCCGCCGGGCGAACGCGTTGCGGGCCTCGGCGCAGGCAGCTGGCATCGGCTGGCGACGCTGGCCGGGCCCGCAGCCGGGGTCCTGGGGAACGGGCGGGCACCTGCTCCCTCTGGGCCGCAGTCAGACTCCAGCCTTGACCTCGATTTCTAAGCTTGCTTTTCCTCTTGACGTCCAGCTATGAAGCGACAGCGAGCTGCCCGCGCCAGGTTGCTGGCCAGCTAGAGTCCAGCTAGCCACGAAGTTGGGAGCAATCATGATTTGGAGTGCGTGGCCCATCTTTGCTAAGGAAGGAGCCCACTCGTTGAGATTCCCAGAATGACAGGTCTTTCCAGTTAGGGACACCCTAACTGTGTTGCTGTGAACTGTTGCGGCCCAACTGGGTCGCCCCACTCAAGGGAACTCCCAGCTCAGCATTTCGGGCCTCAGAAGTCCACTCAGTATGAGAAGAGACCAGCGCTCTGAAACTTTGTTTTTTAAAGTATGTTATGGGCCAAACAAAACGTGTCTGTGGACTTCGCCTTGAACGCAGGCTGTAGGTCTGTAACCTCAGCTCAGGCAAAACGTCCCCAGTTGCAAACTAGAGGTGGGAGCATCTTCTGGGGCAGTGTCAGGCGAGGTGTCATTATATAAAAGGTTTCTGGACGTTCCTTCAGCAAGTGATTTCCTTCCTTGGGAATGATCCTCTCTTCTCCAGGTTGCTAGTATGTTCTTCTGGGGCTTAGCATGGTTTGAACACTGATAACAAATAACCTGTCCTTCACCCAGGCAGCGTTTGTAATGCTTTGCCAGGAAATATATAAAAGGGCTCATCTTCACCCAGTCCTGTTTTCATACTTCTGCCCTCCATGGACTTGGATATTGCTGGAGCTTAAGGGAATTCAGACATTACAGAAACCTGATCATACAAGAAATGTTTATTTTGTTGAGCATGAGAAAAGTCTGGAAAATGCCCAGCTGTTGTGTCAAAAAGAAGTGGAGCTGGAGGTGTAGTTCAGTGATAAAGCATTTCCCTAACATGCTCAAGGGCCTGGGTTCCACCCCCAGCACCACAAAAACACAAACAGTATAATTTGGTCAGTTATCTACCAAAGCTGTGTTTTTGTTTTGTTTTGTTTGAGACAGGGTCTCTCTGTAGCCCCAGCTGGCCTGAAATAGGTTGGTCTCCATCTCACAGAGATCTACCTAAAGCTGTTGTTTTCTGGATTACTTTTGTGAGTTAGCCCTGACTCTACCTTCAGAGTTATCACCATCTTCTGTTGTCTTGAGTGGTTTTTCTCTTTAAAGCTAAGACAGTGTCTTATTAGAATTTTATTGCTAAAAATATTTTGGCATCTGTTGACCGGTGAGTATACTTTTTTTTTTTGTCTTTTTGAGTTGGGTTCTCCTGTAGCCCCAGCTGGCCTGGAACTCACTATATAGAGCAGGCTGGCTTTGAACTCACAGAGCTCTGCCTGCCTCTGCCTCCTGAGTGCTGGGATTAAAGGCCTGTGCCACTATGCCTGGCCAGTAAAGTATACTTTTGTTCCTCAGTGACTTGCCACCTCATGGCCCACCCTGGGACCATCCTTTTGTTCACTTGAATAGTTTTGTGTTACACACATGAGTCCCAAACAGTCAGTTCACCATTTCCAGGAGTTGGCACTGTCCATTATGCCTGCTGTTTTGTAGAAAATACTGTTTTCCCCTCTGGCTAGCAGCCTGAGAAGGGCTGTAACTTAAGAGGACTGCTGACAGAGAGGCCATGAATATTGAATTGTGAGCAGCCAGGCCTCTGGCACCTCCCTCTGCCTTCCCTAGGTTTGCGTCACACCATAAGCTAGTAAGACAGGCTTACAAAAACCCTTGTGAAGGAAAATAAAGATCCCAAGTACAGGCTGGTATGTAGCTCAAGGGTAGATAACTTGCTTTGCATGTGTGAGGTTCTGGGGTTCTGTCCCCAGCACTGAAAAAACAAACAAAAAACCAAACTTAAGAGACTGAAACAGGAGGATTACTATAAGTTCAAGGCCAGCCTGGACTACATAGTGGGTTTCAGGCTAGACAGGGCTATAGGGTGAGATTCTGTTTTAAAAAAAAAAAAATTCTACATCTGGGACAGTGGCTGGCCTACTTGATGTGTGCATGAGTATTTTCTCCACTTGCCTGGTAGATGTAATTAAAGAGGACATTCTCTGTTAGAGTTGCTTGGGAAAGCTGAGTGAGTCTTAGGGTGCAAGTGTTAGTGAGGCTATCCGTACAGCAACTGAAGTTCCTCTGTGGGTCCTCAGGCTTGGCCCTGCTATGAATCTTTCTGTATCACACAGATTTCAGGAAGAGTCTGACTGTGGAGCAAGGCACAATGAAGGTTGAGCTACTGCCTGCACTGACTGACAACTACATGTACCTGGTTATCGATGAGGACACCCGGGAGGCAGCCATTGTGGACCCAGTGCAGCCCCAGAAGGTGTGTGTGGCTCTTCCTGGCTCCCTGTGCCTTGTTACTCAGCACCCTCTTTCCATCCCCATGGGTTACAGCATAGGGTCATTGTAGCTCTGCAGAAGTTCATTGGAAATTAATTCATTTAGTTTTTGAAAAATAAACTCATGTTCAGCTACTGTTAAATGGGACAGTGAGAAGGGTAGAGAAGATCACAGGTCTCTGTGGCCAGCCTGGCACCTGACTTTAAACCCCTGTGCCTAGACATATGTGAATCTCTGAGACCTGGCTCATCCTCCAAACCTGCTCCAGCATTGTGGATGACCTTGGGGCTGGAGGTGCTTGGAGAGGTTATGGGTGGGACCAAACAGCTAAGTTGATGGAGAGAAAAAGGCTACCTTCTACCTGTTGTCCTGGAGTGTGGCCATTCAGCAGGGGTGGGATGAAGGCTGGGCACCAACCTTTCAGGCAGGTGAGCCAGGGCCAGAAGTGTGACTGGGCCTTTGTCCTGCCTCCTGTGTGGCTATAGGTTATAGAAACCGTGAAAAAGCAGGGTGTGAAGCTGACCACGGTGCTCACCACCCACCATCACTGGTAAGTGCTCTGGCTCTGGAAGCACCTGTGGGTGGGACCTGTCACTCACCTGGGAAGGACAGGGGCCTGGCTCACTGTGCATATAAGGGGCAGACCATTGAGCCAGAGAGAATTCTGAGAAAGCATCAAGGCTCCTACCTTCTTCCTCTTAGGCTGATGACCCCCTGGGTTCTGCTAGTGCAGGAACTTCTAGGTGAGATACTTGTGGCCTGTGAAGAGGAACAGAGGTAGAGCCAGCACCCAGGCAAGAGCTTTCACTGCTATCCCTTCAGAGCCTGGCTCCTCTGGTCACAGGAAGACCCTAGTGGCTACCTTTCACATATTTTGGGCTTATGAAAAGTAATGTTGGCCTCCATCCATGCAAGAAAGAAGAGAGTCTAGGCATCAGTATTTACTTAAAAAGATATCCATATTTCTTACAGGTGGTTTTATTTATTTATTTATTTATTTATTTATTTATTTATTTTTATTTATTTATTTATTTATTTATTTTTGGTCTTTTTGAGACAGGGTTTCTCTGTAGCTCCAGTTGGCCTCACTATGTAGTCCAGGCTAGCCTTGAACTCACAGTGATCCATCCACCTGCCTCTGCCTCCCGAGTGCTGGGATTAAAGGCGTGCGACATCACATCCGACAGGCATTGATTTTTGCAAAGATTTATTTTATATATATGGGTATATGTGAGTGGCTGCATGTATGTATGTGTCCTATGTGTGCACCTGGTGCCACAGAGGCCAGAAAAAGATGTTGGATCCCCTGGAGCTGGAATTAAGGTGGTTGTGACCGGCCATGTGGGTGCTCAGAACTGTACCTAGGTCTCTCTGCAAGAGCAACAAGTGCTTTTAATCACTGAGCCAGCCCTCCAGCCCCAGGTTGATTGGGTTTTTGTTGTTGTTGTTCTTATTGTTTGGTTGGTTTTGGTGTTTTGAGATAGAGTTTCACTCTAACCCAGGTTGGCCATGAATTTGGGGTAATCCTCCTGCCTCTGACTCCCAAGTGCTAGGATTATAGGTATCACTGCACCAAATTTTATTGATTTTTAAAGCTAAGGAATGTGAAAATCTCCTCTGCTTGGGGCTTTGGGATAGTGTTGTCTGATGGTAGAAGAAAATATTTGTTTGACTCCTAATTTTCTTTTCTAAATGACCAAATAAAGACAGTTGGACTTTTTCCTCCAACCCTGTCTTGGATTGCTCAGAGGACAGCACTTTTTTTTTTTTTTTTTTCGGACAGGGTCTCACTTATATAACCCTGGCTGGCCTGAAACTTTTTTTTTATATTTATTATTTTTTAATTTTATGTATATGCATGTAATTGCCTGCATGTAGGTAAGTGCACCCATGTTGTGCAATGCCCACAGAGGTCAGAAGAGGCTGTTGGATCCCTTGGGACTGGAGTTATAGACAGTTGTTAGCTGTCATGTGGGTGCTGGGATTCAAATCCAGATCTTCCGCAAAAACAATCAGTGTTCTTATCTGCTGAGCCATCTCTCCAGCCCCCTGGAACTTTCTATGTAGACCAGGCTGGCCTCAAAATCATAAATATCTGCCTGCCTCTGTCTCCCAAGTGCTGGGATTAAAGTGTGTGCCACCATGCCTAGCAGGATGGCACCTTCTGAACTCCCAGTACCTCTGCTGATGTAAGCCAAGTTTGCAGCTGCACTGCTCAGTCTCTCGTCTTTGGAGTTGGTTTAGTGAGGCCCTATGGCCAGGCCTCTGAGGTCCTGAATGAGACTCCAACATTTGGGACAGGGAGTCAGTAACCTGGGTCTTGGCCTGTGTTACTCACTGTGGCTGCTCTTTCTTGGGGCTCATTTCCCCAGTCTCCCTGCCACCAGCAGTCTATCTTGGGGACCTGGTGGCAGCTACCTTGAGGCCATCAGAGGCTTTCACAGTTTGCTTCTTCCTTCTACCTAAGTAACTCCCACTTCAGATTCCTCTTCCCAGGTAATTTGAAGGATTCTGGCTTTTTCTAGCATCTTCAAATGTTTATGCTGTCATCAAGCCCAAGGCTGAGCCCCATGTCTGGCCTGTGTCTCACACAGTGACAGAGTTGTGTTATTGCTTGTTCATTGGTGGTAGCATTTTAGAAGATTGGCTATGAGGTGATGGTGCTTACCTGGCCTATGTGTGGCCTCTGTCCTGGGGGGCGGGGAGCACTGGACCATTAGGTCCTGCTATCTGAGGACTCTGCTATTCCACAGGGTGTTTCACTGGAGTCCTTATGGGATATGGTCTCTGAGGTACCTGAAGGCGTCCACAGGGGGCATGGAATGAGGTGACCAAGGTACTGGCAGGAGGCAGGTGTTTCTTAAGCCTCATCTTGAAGCTAAGCACAACTCACAGTGCTGGGGATGCTCCCAGCCCCACCTGTCACTAGGACTCTTACCGTCTGTTGCTTCCTTTCTGAAATGCAGATTAGAGGGCTCCCTGGGGAACCATGGGAGCTCTTGGTGAATGTCTGGGAGGTAGCTCTACTCTGGTTGGCTTGTGTCCTATAGGCAGATCTCCCTCATGTGGGTGGCATTGTGGTTTCAGGATCTCCCAGCATATCCTCGCCAAGTGCTGGGCCAAACTGGGAAACATCAGGATCACCTGGGAATTTTTAACCGTTTACCTACTCCAGGCTGTTCAGCCCCTCTTCCCAGGAGGTGGAGTGGGAGTGAGGCTCCTGTGCAGCTGTTAGCACTCCAGATGAGTCCCTATGCCTCAAGGCATGGGAATCGCACTGGGGACTCTCCAGCTGTGTGTGATCTGCTTTCTCTGGTATGAAAAACAGCAAGAGGGTAGGCAAGTGCTGGATACCTGAGAAAATTTTTCTCAATATTGCCAAATGGTGGACATTAACTGTTTTCCATTACTTGTTTCTACTGAGAAATATACAGGCAAAGAGTCCATTTATTTAGGGGTTAAAGGAGGGGAGCAACCCTCTCCATCTGGCAGGTCACTCCAAGCCTCCTGTTTGATTTCCAGGGACCATGCTGGTGGGAATGAGAAGCTGGTGAAGCTGGAGCCTGGGCTGAAGGTGTATGGTGGTGATGATCGCATTGGGGCTCTGACTCACAAAGTCACACACCTGTCCATGCTGCAGGTACAAAGTGAGCCATGACAAGAACGCTATGCAGGCTCTGCCGAGATGCTAGGCCCAGGGGTGTCATTTGGGAAGGGGTCTGGTGGTTTGGACAGTCCTATGCTAAGAGCATAGTGAGAAAATCAACTGCAAAATGTGACTGGACACTGGGGCAGTCATCAAGTGGGTCTCTGAGTAGACTGGGGAATTTAGATGGTGCCTCTGGGATCCCTTTGATTTCTTAGATGCTATGATGGTGAGCTTGTGTGGAGAGGTACCCCTTAAGACCTGTAGCTGCAGTATTCAGGACAATTGTTCTGGACATGAGCAACTTCAGCAAAGAGAGGCACCACAGAGATGTGGAAAGAGTAAATACTCTGATGAATCTCAGTGTCTATTGGGGTGTTGTCTTGCTGGGTAGGTTTTGTTGTAGGTTTAAGCATTTGAAGTAAGGAATTGAGAAGGTAGGTCAGAGAAAGAGGGTGTCTTTTATTGTAAAATGCCTGGTTTAAATTTGGCCCAGTTCTAAAGGCATAAACACAATAAGCCTCTTTTCTTTTCTTCTTCTTTTTTGAAGCCTTTTGGACCTGGGCTTTTCTTTGCTGGGGGGCCTTTGATTATAGATTCAACCTCCTTACGAGGTATGGGTCTATTCACATTTTCTACTAGTTTTTATTCTTTGAAAATTTCATACTCGTTTACAACGTACCTTGATCATATCCCGCCCCCTCACTCTTCCTTCCAACTCTCCCTCGGACCCTCCAATCAGATCTCCCTCCCAATCTCAAGACCTCCTTTTTTTTTTTTTTTTTTTTTTTTTTTTGTTGTTGTTGTTGGGAGCAATTACATCTGAAAATCTGAAGGTCTGTACCTGGGATCATACCCCAGGAGAGTGCCACATGACCCCCTTCCTGTCCATACCCAGAGGCCTGCTCCAAGTCCTGGGCTGCCCTGCAGGTGTCTAGGATACAGTTATATCCTGGTGTAGATATACTCAGGTGGTCAGGAAGGGGAGGGTCATGAGTGACCCGCAGTGCTGCCACCTGTGATTTCTCAGAAAGTTTTATAGTAGTTGGGGTTCATTCCAGCATCTCTGTTTCAGGTAGGATCTCTCACTGTCAAATGCCTGTCAACACCCTGCCATACTTCCGGACACATCTGTTACTTTGTGAGCAAGCCTGGTAGTTCCGAGCCCTCTGCTGTATTCACAGGTAAGTGGGGGAGGCCTGGAGGTCTCTGTGAAGACCTTGGCATTGACTATGTAAGGAAACTCCTGTGCAGAAAATCAGGGTGTTCCCTACCAGGCCTCCTAGCAGGGGTGTACTTCTCCAGTATCCCTGTATCTTGTGTGAGGAAGCTGTAGCCCTCAGGGTAGAGACTGGACTTGCTTCAAACTCTATAGGGCACAGAGGCACCCTTTGAGCTGATTCTGTAGCATGTGGATTGCTGCTGCATCAGCTGTTTGGGGGTACAGCCTCCGTTTTCGAGGGTCATCAACCTTGTGCAGCCTCAGCCCCCACCGTCCAGCAGCCAACAAATGGACATGGCTTGGAGGGGACTGGCTGAGAAAGATCCCAGGGGTGCCAAGTATTCTTTCTGTGACCTTGCAGAAAGCCCTGTGATCTGGACTGGGCCAAAGTAAGGCAGTATCCCAGCTCTGGTATGGCTGTCATGCACCTAGAAACCCTGTAGAGCCAGCAGCCTGACCAGGCGATGGGTGATTTGAGGTCTGAGCCAGACCCTGGGGCATTTTGTACTTAGTGCAAATGGGTTTATCCAGAAATCAGAGGAATTTTCCCCTTTTGGGTAAAAATAAAACAACACTGATGCTGATTGGGAGCCTGTGAAGCAGAACAGCCTTGTGACAGCAGTACTCAGGTGGCACAGGTGTGTTGCAGAGAGCCTGGTTCCTGACTCTTAGAGGTGTGATGGCTGCAGTCCAGTGACAGCAGGTGAGGTTGTTTAGAGACTGGCTCTCTCCAGGGGCCCTCATGAGGTTATAGCAGTGTTTTCAGGTGGGGAGAACCATGCTGAAAGAACAAGGGAGGAGTGGGTGGGGACTTGGATCTCTGTTCTATAAACCTGAAATTATCCTGGAACCTGAGCTTATTTAAAAATACTGCTGTAGCCGGGCATGGTGGTGCATACCTTTAGTTCTAGCTCTTTGGATGCAGAGGCAGGTGGATCTCTGTGAGTTCAAGGCCAGCCTGGTCTACATAGTGAGTTCTAGGCCAGCTGGAGCTACAGGGAGACCCTGTCTCAAACAAAACAACAGCAACAAAAATACTGCTGTTATAGAATTCCAGGGTTTTTGCTTTTGTTTTGTTTTGTTTTGACTTTTTGAGACAGGGTCTCTCTGTAGCCCTAGCTGGCCTGGATTTCCATGGAGACCAGGTTAGCCTTGAACTCACAGAGATCTGCCTGCCTCTGCCTCCCTGAGTGCTGGGATTAAAGGCGTGTGCTACCTCGCCTGGCTGTTTTCGTTTTTTTGAGACAGGGTCTCACTCTGTAGCCCAGGTTAGCTCTGAACTTGTGGCAGTCCTTCCTTAGCCTCCTGCTTTTGGAAATTACATGTGTAAGCCGCCATTCCTGATGTCTTCATTGTGACATCATGTGGTTCATGCTCAGGTCCTGGGCTCACTTTTCTCCTATACGGAGTAGAGAGTAGAGGCTCCACCTCCTAAGCTGGAGCCTGGAACAGGACAACTCTGCTATGTGTTTATGTTCTTGCTGTGATTAGTAGCTTTGGTAGGACCTTTCTGAACTGTGGTTACTGCTGTGGTAAAATGGTAGCAGTCATGGTCTTCAGCTTATGGCCACACAGGCTAAGTGAGAGGATGTGTGGACACAGCCTGCCTGCCCCAGTTGGCATGCCTCTGTGCCCTATGAAGGCCTCTGTATCAGTGTCTGTAAGAGTAGATGGCAGTGTCTGCCCTCTGCCCCAGCTTATTCAGAGCTGGTATTGGGGGCCACATTGGAAGGACATGCCAGCTTTGGGAGAAGTTGTATGTTTGTATGCATGCATATAGAGTCAGAGGACAACCTTGGACATTCCTCAGGCATTCCTACTTTTTGTTTGAGATGGGGGTCTTGTATTCAGCCTGGAATTATGCCAAGCTGGCCAGAAAGCTCCAGGAATCCTCCTGTCTCCATGTCCCATCTTGCCAACACTGGGATTACAAACACATGCCACCGTGCCTGGCTTTTTACATGAGCTCTGGGGATCAGACTCAGATTCTGACACTTGCAATCCAAGCACTTACCAATTAAGCCATCTCCCTATCCCCCACTTCCCCTTTTGCTGACAGTGCTGTGGCTGGAACCCAGGGCCTTGTGCATGCTAGGCAGATGCCGTACTACTGAGCTCAGATGCTGTACTACTGAGCTCCAGCCTAGCTTGAGGCTAGATATTTCATAACTGTCTTGAAATTTAGAAGGTATTGTATGTTGTAGAGGGTGACTGCTATGGGATGCAGGCCCCAAGGTGTCCCACACTTGCTGTGACTATTGTCTGTAGAGCAGGTCATTTTTTAAAAATATTTTATTATTTTTACTTTATGTGTATGAGTGTATTGCCTGCATGTATGTGAGTGCACCCGCGTTGTGCAGTGCCGCAGAGGTCAGAAGAGGGCTTCGGATTCCCCTGGAACTGGAATTAAGGATGGTTTGTAGCCACCATGTGGGTGCTGGGAATCAAGCCCAGGTTCTCTGCAAGAGCAGTCAGTGTTCTTTACCACTGAGCCATCTCTCCAGCAGGTCATTAAAAAAAAATTTTTTTTATTATTTTTATTTTATGTGTATGTGTGTATTGCCTGCATGTAGGTAAGTGCACCCGTATCGTGCAGTGGCCACGGAGGACAGAAGAGGCTGTCCTATCCCCTGGAACTAGAGTTATGGACAGTTGTTAGCTGCCATGTGAGCTGGGATTTGAACCCAGATCATATGTAAGAACAGCCAATGTTCTTAACTGCTGAGCCATCTCTCCAGCTCTAGAGCAGGTCACTTTATAACTGCAAATTATGGCCAGGTATGGCACTTAGTCCTGGCACTTGGGAGGCAGAGGCAGGTGGATCTCTGTGAGTTCGAGGCCAGGCCTGGTCTACATAGTGGATTCCAAGCCAGCTGGAATGACAGGGAGACCCTGACTCAAAAAGACAAAAAACAAAACAACAACAACCCCCCCCGCCCCCAACAAAAAAACTTCGCAGTATGCTGTGGGGCAAGGTAGAGGTATCTGGCATCAGTAGTGAGGTCCAGTGGTGAAAAATGGACCTGCAACCCACACAGTATGAACCAGGATAGTGCTCTGCCCTCCCTCCCCCAGCTAAACTAAGGCCAACAGGGGTGGGGAGAGGAGCAGGGCATAGCTTAAGAGAAGGGTGAGGGGCAGGCATCCTCTGAGGCTGCAGTATGGGATAAGGCCTGTCCAGGATGAGATGAGGAGGCTAAGCACTGAGGGGACAACAGGTGGCAGTGCTGGTGACAGCCTGGGTAGAGAGGGAGGGATGAATTTAGGACTTGATGTTTGATCCTACCTCATGGCAGTGAGCAATGCAGGGGCCCTGGGAAGCAATGCAGAGGCAATGCAGGGGCCCTGGGAAGGGGTAGTTGAGGTAGATGATGGCATCCTGAGTGCTCACTGAGTCAGGCTGGTCACAGGTGCATGGGAAGCAGAGGCAGCTAGGCTGCCCCCATAGAGGCTTGTGTGAGGCCAGGGCAATGCCAGCTAGGGAGGGGGTACCTGAAATATTCTTAGTAACAAAGGGAAGGAGTGTCAAAAACCTGGATGTGAGGGCATCCAGAGATCCAGGGGCTGCTGAGTAGGTGGGAAGTAGGCTGGGTCTGTGATGGTCTTAGCTATGGTAGGCCTGGGGTGCTAAAGGCGGATCAAGGTGCCTTGGGTTTCAGGCCCAAATGGTGAGTTAATGGCTGTGGTTGAGACTGGAGACAGGTAGGATGTGGCTAGCCTTGAAATATGTTGGGTGGAAAGGCCTCTTGGTGTATGGGTAGAAGATGGCTTTGGGCTGTGTTCTGAGGCCTGTACATGACCAGTGTATGAGTTAGCCCTGAAGAGCCATCATTGTGTTTTCCAGGTGACACACTGTTTGTTGCTGGCTGTGGGAAGTTCTATGAAGGAACTGCAGATGAGATGTATAAGGCACTGCTGGAAGTCTTGGGCCGGCTCCCTCCAGACACAGTATGCACTGTCTCCTTTTCCCACAGGCCCCAAATGCCCCATGCAGCAAACCTGTTGCATGCTAGGCCTACCTTTGAGGCGTGGGAAGCATTGTCTCTGCTTTCACAGCTGGCCCATGACTGGATGATCCCCCCCTCACAGGCCTCACCTGTGAGCTGGGTGAGCAGGAAGACAGAGGTGTCACCTTAAGTTCTTATTCAATGTTTGTGACTCTGTAGTATCCACTAGTTGCACACATTGCATGGGGTACCAGGTCAGCTGAGACATGACATGGCCCTGAACTCTCAGGACTCCCAAAGCTGAATTAATCACTCAGAACTCGTGTGCTGTCTCTTTCTTCAGAAAGTCTACTGTGGCCATGAATATACCATAAACAACCTCAAATTTGCACGCCATGTGGAACCCAACAATGCTGCCATCCAGGAGAAGCTGGCCTGGGCCAAGGTGAGTGCAACCTGTTCTTGGGGCACGTCCTATGGGCTTGTCATGGTGCAGTGAATTCCTGAGGGCTCGGGCGCTGGTCCACAGCACTGTCTGTAGAGCAGGTAGAAGCCAGGTGTCACAAGCCCAGAACTCACCATGGAGTGGTGTACCCCATTCTGATTGGATGGCCCTGTATGGGCATTACATAACTATTTTTTAAATTTTTTTAATTTTTATTATTATTTTATTTTTGGTCTTTTTGAGACAGGGTCTCCCTGTAGCCCCAGCTGTCCTAGAACTCACTGTGTAGACCAGGCTAGCCTTGAACTCCGGCCACCTCTGCCTCCCAAGTGCTGGGACTACAGGCGTGCACCACCATGCCCAGCATTTTTATTATTTTTAAAAAATTTATTATTTTATGTGTATGAGTGTTATGCCTGCATGTAGGTAAGTGCGCCATGTCATGCAATGCCTGCAGAGGACAGAAGAGGCTGTCAGATCCCCTGGAACTGGAGTTATGGACAGTTGTTAGCTGCCATTTGGGTTCTGGGATTTGAACCCGGATCCGCTGCAAGAGCAGTCAGTGCTCTTAACCACTGAGCCATCTCTCCAGCCCCTAGATACCATTTCTAGCAAGGCCTCCCTACAAGAGACCCAGGCTGCAGATCTGGCCCTATTCCCTACATTCTGAGCAGTGGGTCAGTGGTCAGTTGGACCCTGTATCGAGAGCCTGCCTCTGCTATCATTGTAACAGTTTATCTCCATGGTGGCTCCAGTGAACTACCACAGGATAGCCTAGGGCAGAGGGCTGAGGGCTCTGATAGATGCCAGAGCTCTGCTTCCATGTAATTCACTATCAATGATGTTAGCAAGAGCCATGCACACCTGGGAGGTGCAGGTGCAGCTTCCTCCTGCTAAGTTTAGGAAGTGGAACTTCCCTGTTTAATGTTTGTTGTGTGTTTTATATAAATAACCTGTCCAACATCTTTTCCAACTGGGGAAGGGGGCTTACAGAATAATAATAAAAAATTCAGCACTTGGGGAACTGAGTTTGAGGCCAGCCTAGGCTACATATACATAGTGAGTACCAGGCTAGCCAGGCTATATAGCAAGACCCTGTCTCAAAAACAAAACATAAATTTAGCCTGGGATGGTGGCATATCTTCGTACTTAGGAGGTTGAGGTGAGGCAGGAGGATCAGGAGTTCAAGGCCAGTCTCAGCTACATAGGGAGTTCTTAGACAGCCTGGGCTACATGAAACAATCTCAAAACAAAAAATTCAAATGATGAGTCAGGACAGTACCACATATTTGTAATCCTACTCAGGAGGCTGAGGTGGGCGTTTGAAAATTCAAGGGCCTGTCTGGGTAGCATAACAAGGACATCATCTCAAAAAAACTTCATTTTTAATTTGTTGATTCTATTCATATCTGAATATGCATTTAATACTCATTTAAGATCATGCTGTGTACTACTGTAAACACCATATTATCATTCTCTAACTTGCTTTACATCTTTATTTCCCTTTGGTGCTGGAGATCGAACCCAGAGCCTCATATATGCCAGCTCTATTCCCGGGGCTCTCCATGTTAGCCTGGCAGTAGGTGGGCGAGGACTGTAGTGGAGACCCTCTAGGTATGAATTCCTCCACTTTGGCCCAGCTGTGTTGGCAGTGTCTTCTCTCTGCCATGGTCAGTAGTGCTCAGGAATGAGGCCATCATAGGAGAAGGTGGCTGGTGTCCTTCTGCACCCCGTTTCTTTGCCATTCCCAGGGTACATTTGAGGAGCTTCTGAGAGCCCTATGCTGCGAGCCCAAGTCACTCACTGCACCTCATGATGGTTTTCTTGGGCGGGGAGTTAGGGGGCTGGCTTTCTATGCTTTTTGCATCTTTGCTCAATATTCCTTCTGTTTGTGAAACCTAAATTTCACAGTAATGGAGTGAGGACTCACCTTCCCCTTCAGAGACGGTACAAACAGGACACACTGGTAGCAGCAGTTTATGCTTAGGAACACAGCTGGAGACCACTGCTCATCCTTCCATGAGCCAGAAACCCTCTTGTCCACACTGACAGCTCAGCTTTGCTCATGTGAGCCAGAAACCCTCTGTCCACACTGACAGCTCACTTGCTATGCCTTCTAGGATGAACTGATTTAAAGATCATTAAGGTATTTGAAAGGTGGGACTCATCAGTCCTTGTGTGACCGTGGTATCTCTTGCAGGAGAAGTATGCCATTGGGGAGCCCACGGTGCCATCCACCCTTGTGGAGGAGTTCACCTATAACCCCTTCATGAGAGTGAGGTGAGACGGGTGTAGTGGGGCCCTTTCTTGGTCTTACCTTACTGTGCAGCCTTATGGAGCCAGGTTCACCTCCAGCAAAGAGCCAAACAAGGGCTAGCCTCTCCTTAAGTGAGTGGGCCTCCTCCCCAAGTTTTAAGTGCACCCAAGAGGCAGGTTTTGTCCTATAATATGAGGGTATACTTTTCTTGGTGCCTTGGCAAGGATATTGGGGGCCCCAACTGATGGTGGGCAATGATCTGGAGAAACTGCTTTATGAATTCTTGAAGCTCTGTGTCCTTGCACCCAGTGGGGTAGTCTGGAGTTGGTGGCTTCACACCTGTATATTAGAAGGACCTGGCTGGCTTAGCCCTGCGTCTCCCCAGCAGTTTCCTGTATGACAGCATCCAGGCTCTTGGGAGAGATTGTGTATCTGAGCCTGCAGCCCATGCTAACCTCTTTACGAGCAGGGAGAAGACAGTGCAGCAGCATGCAGGCGAGACAGACCCTGTGACCACCATGTGGGCCATCCGCAGGGAGAAGGACCAATTCAAGGTGCCACGGGACTGAAGTGCCACATTTCCAGCACAAGGGGATGGGGAGTTTTAAGTGACTGTCTGCTGCTCATTCAGGATCTAATCTGGTTTAATTTTAAGTTAATTTCAGAGCCCTTAGCTTGTGTTATCAAATATTCTAATGCATATTTATGAGAAAAAAGTTTAAAGTATTTATTCCCATATCCTCTGCTTATGGACTCTACATTATCTCTGGCTTTACATGTGTGCAGCCTTAGGACCTTTGGTCACATGATACCTAGCCTGCACCCAGCTTCTCAGAGTGGTGCTGGCCCCCGGATGTGGCAGCTCCAGGCTGGGCATCCCACCCTGGCTTCCTGGCTTTTCAGGAAGAAAGGAGATGGCTTTCACCCTCCTAGGCTTTTCTTCCCTCTTCCACTAGTCTCAAGGGTAGCCTGGGGATGTTGACATTTTCACAAGGCTGCTTCTATGTCAATGTGAATTGAGATGAGTCCTTGAGAGGAGATTGTGTCATAGCCACAGGTTAACCTGTGTCTAGGCTGGAGAAGCCTGTGACTCTGTTGTAGCACTTGGGTTAATGTTCATGAAGCTGGCCATTTGCCAAGGCTCTGCCCCAGGGTGGACAATTGCTGACTTGGCCACTGTGGTAGCTCGTGGCTGTGTTCAGTGCTATATTGTGTGCTGAGTTCTCAGCATGCGCTATCCTGAACACCTCTGCCCCAAGCAGCCTGGATCCTCTGCCACTGAACAGCACCTTTGTAGCCCATACTTGTCAACTACCCACTCATGATTTCTCATATGCTAAGTAAGCTCTATACTCTTGCCCCTGTGATTTTTTTTCTAAGACTCTGCTTTATTGTGTGGCCCAGGTTGGCTTTGCACTTGCAGTCCTCCTGCCTTGGGATTACAGGCCTGCAATAGGCATGGGCCTTTTTTTTTTTCTTTCTTTCTTTCTTTCTTCTTTTTTTGAGATAGGATCTCCCTGTAGCTCCAGTTGGCCTTGAACTCGGAGATCTGCCTGCCTCTGCCTCCAGAGTGCTGGGATTAAAGGCATGCTTCCCTGTGGATATTTCTTAAACTAGTGATTGTTTCTTCTGTGGCTCCCAGTCTATTGCTTGCCAAGTTTTTTCCTTCCTAAATTTTCACGTCAGTCAGTGCTTCCTAACCAAGGTGTCCTCTCTTCCTTCAAGCTGTAGTTGTGCCCTCTGGCTTTCCTGACCACTCTTCCTAACATGAGAGCAAAGGGTGCTTTGCCTGCAGGGACCCATAGTAAGCACTGCTAGTGTGGCTGCACACTTCCTTTCCAGCTTTGCTTGAGATATTTGGTGTTTGAGCAACACCCACCCTAGGGTCTCCAGGACCCATTTCATCCCCTCTTGCTCTGAGGGCTCTCCTGGTTAGGCCTATCCTCTAGCTTTCTCTGGTCAGATGGTGAGATAGGGGGTTTCTATCCATGGGCTTTTTGTTTTTGTCTTACTTTGCCTCTGGCACCTCCCCCACTTCCCCCTGGCTGTGCAGGCCAGGCTGGACATCCATGCTTTTCAGTCCTGTGCTGGAGTCCTTGCTGTTTGCTTACTTGCTGCCTGACCTGGCCATCTTGTCAGTGTGGGAATCCCAGTGTGAATTCCTCTCCAGCTGTAAAACCACTAAGTACTTAATCTGATAACTTAAAAATTACTTTTGAGGTAAAGGTCACATAAGTAGCCATTTAAATTGCAGTTGGGATGCTCTGGCTCCATCTCCACTATGCATATCCACATTTGAGAGGGACATGGTATATATTCAGTGTTCCATGCTCTTCTCTCTCATCATTTGAAACTTCTAATCACAGTTCTGTCCAGCTGGAAGAGGTGGAATTCTGGGAAGGGGGCTACTCCTGGCCCATCTACCACTGTGGTTACCTGTTTCTTCATGGGGTAGCAGAGGCCAGGGCAAGAATAAAGAACTGGAATTTGAGGAACACAGCAGAGCATGGCCTGGGGTTCATGGGTAGCTGGCTCTTTCTGTTCTAGTGGCCCATCCTTCAATGTGGGTGTCAGAGGTGGGACCACTTCTGCTCAGACCAACAGTCCACCTGAGAGCCACTGACACAGGCTATATGTGGAGGAAGGACTTGTTACAGTATTTCTTGCTTCCTCCTACTCCCTCAGCACCCAGTTCACAGAGCATATTTGTTGTAAGTAAATACCCTAGCTGCTTAGGCTCTACAACCCTGTCGTTTGTTAACTAGTCATCAGTTTCTGGCAGTCCTCTGTGGACTGGAGGGCAGAGTTTCAGGAGGTGAAAGACTTTCACTTGTCCACAGTATTTGGAGATTTAAATATGTCACTGAACTGAATCTGGATGACCACTTTTCTCAGGTGTCCAAGAACATTCTCTGGGTCAGATCATATCTTAGACCCCACCCCAACTTACAAAGTCTGAAATTATGTAGTGTGTTCTCTAACTCCAGTACAACTAGACAATGCCATTAACATTTCTTTCTTTTTTTTTTGGTCTTTTTGAGACAGGGTCGGGAGCTGCCTGGATTTGCTATGGAGACCAAGGTGGCCTCAAACTCAAAGAGATCTGCCTACCTCTGCCTCCCATGTGCTGTGATATACACGGCACAGGAATACCATTAACAATTTCTAAATACTAATTGAGTCAAAGAGTAAAAATGGAAACATGCTAAAACAACAAAAGCCGGGCTTAGGGGGGATTTTACAGGGTTTTTTTTTTGGGGGGGGGTGGTTGTTTTTGTTTTGGTTGGTTGAGGGGTATGGGGATGGAACCTAGGATCCCTCACACATGTCAAGGAAGTGTTCTACAAGGAAATTTATAGCTTTAAATGCCTATTTGAGAAAAGAAAGGTCTCCACAATTCAGGTTTGTTTTTTTTGTTTTTTTGTCTTTTTGAGACAGGGTCTCCCTGTAGCTCCAGCTGTCCCGGAACTCACTATGTAGACCAGGCTGGCCTTGAACTCACAGAGATCCACCTGCCTCTGCCTCCCGAGTGCTGGGATTAAAGGTGTGCGCCACCACGCCCAGCTAATTCAGGTTTTTTAATCTTATTATTTTTATTTTATGTGTATGAGTGTATTGTCTGCATGTATCTGAGTGCACCCATGTTGTGCAATGCTGAGGACATCAGAAGAGGGCTTCGGATTCCCCTGGAACTGGAGTTAAGGATGGTTTGTAGCCACCATGTGGGTGCTGGGAATCAAACCCGGGTCCTCCGCAAGAGCAGTCAGTGCTCTTAACTTCTGAGCCATCTCTCCAGCCCTCACAATTCAGGTTTTACCTTAAACTAGAAAATAAATGAAACCCAAAGGAACAGGAAAAGGCCGAGGATACGGGCTCAGGCATAGAGCTCTTGCCAAGCATGTTCAAAGCGCTTGTTCAGTCCCCAGAATCACAACTTTAGTGATGTCAGAACACACAAATTTACCATCTTACAGTTTTGGAGATTCAAAGTTGGAAGTGGTTCTCACCACGTATCAGCAGGACTGTACTGGAGGTTCTAGGAATGTGCCCATGACCTATCCAGCTTCTAGAAGCCACTTACATTCCCCAGCTCACAGCACCTAACTCCATTTGCAAAGCCAGAGACTGGTTGAGTCCTCCCGACCCATCCTCCTGGATTTGCTATTTACACCTGCTTCTGATTCTCTTTTCCTTTCCAGGACCTTGTGTTTACACTGACTTCACCTGGGAGATCCTGATGATCTCACTAATGTTAATTCCCTCTGCCACTTTAACAGTCATAGATTTCAGGGATCAGGATGTGAACATTTCTGGGAAATTTACACAGCTTTTGTAAGGAGAATCCAACCAGCACCATAGTTAATCACAAATGACTGAATTCTTCCCTACACAAGGGCAAGGCAAGGACATCTACTCTTGCTACCTCACAGACTACTACAGTAAGTCATAAAAATCATGCCAGGTTGTATAAACAATGGTAAGGAGAAGATGACCATCCTTATAAATGACACAACCCTACATGTAGCAAATCCTAAGGAATATATCTTCACATTGGAATTAATGAGTTGAGCAAAGTTCTGAGATGCAAGATGAATAAAGGCAAGTTCACTGTATTTCTTCATACTAATAATCCAAAATGAAATAAAAACTCAATTCTCAGTAGCATTAAAAATCAAATATTGAGGAACCACTACTAGCATATGATTTACAAATGGAATATTGCAAAGCATTGCTAAATGAATGATCTAAACCAATAGGCAGATGTCCATGTTCGTTGATGAGATGACTAAGATAACAGCTCTCCAGAAACTGATCTTCAGATCTAGTGCAGCCCCTAGCAGAATCTGAGCAGGCTTTAAAAAAAATATTATTTTTATTTTATGTGTATGAGTCTATTGCCTGCATGTATGTGAGTGTACCCATGTCGTGCAATGCTGCGGAGGTCAGAAGAGGGCTTTGGATTCCCCTGGAACTGGAGTCAAGGACAGTTCATAGCCACTATGTGGGTGCTGGGAATCGAACCCAGGTCCTCTGCAAGAGCAGTCAGTGCTCTTAACCACTGAGCCATCTCTCCAGCCCCCTCAGCAGGCTTTTGAGAGAGTAACAAGCCAGTTCTAAAGTTATATAGAAATTCAAAGAATGTAGATGAGCCAAAACAACTTTGAAAAAAAAACAAACCCTAAGATTATAGGATCTTTGAGTCTCTGTAGCTAGAAAGTCACAATAATGAAGTATGGAGTGGTGCAAGGACAGGCGTGGCATCACACTCTGAAGTAGAATAGAGAATAAACACTTATGCTTATGGTCAATTGATTTTCCTTTGTTGGATGCCAAGAACAATCTTCTCAACAGATGTGCTGGAAGACCTGGACATGTGTACAGGAAAATATGAACCTTTATCTCACATCACATGAGTACGTTAATTCAAATTGCATCATAGGATTAAAGAGCTAAAGGTATCAAACATTTAGTGGAACTAGTAGTAGAAAATACAGGATCATGGGCTAGGCAAAGTTCTCAGGTGTGACACACAGGTCTTGAGCCATAAGAAAAACAAATTGATTTACTTCATTTAAATGAGAAATCTGCGGTGCTGGGTTCGATTCCCAGCACCCAGATGGCGGCTCGAACCGTCCATAACTCCAGTTCCAGGGGAATCCGAAGCCCCCTTCAGACCTTTGTGGTGCACTCACATACATGCAGGCAATACATTCATACACATAAAATATTAAAATATTTTTTAAATGAAATTTGCATTAAAAAGACAACAGAAACCAAAAAGCTACAGACTGGGAAAAATGACCAATCTTATATCTGATGATTTGTGATGATAATCTTGAATCCATAATAAAGTCTTGGAACACAATTATAAGAACACGACTCAGGAGCTGGAGAGATGGCTCAGCAGTTAAGAATACTTGCTGCTCCTGTGGAAAACTGGAGTTCTATTCCCAGAACCCATATGGTGGCTAACAACTGTGTCTAACTCAAGTTTCAGGGGCTCCACCGCCCTCTTCTAGCCTCTGTGGGCACCATTCACAATGTAGGTACACATACATATGAGCAAAATGCTCATACACCATAAAATCAAAATAAATCATAAAAAAAGAACACAGCCCAATTAAAAGTCTTTACACCTTTCCACAAGGGAGAATACCAGGATGGAAACAATCCAAGTATCTCAGTGAGTGAACCAAAATACGTGTTCTGTGAATAGTGTTACTTGGCAACAAAGATCAAAGCACTGATATGGTGATGTACCACATTGTAGAGAACCTCACAATGAATGGTTCACTGTGGACTACACAGAGAAGAGGATACACCAACAGTACTGGGTGCAGCTGCATAAGTCCACATACATGGTGACTGAAACCACTGACTTGTCCAGAAGTTAGCTTTAGGTCTGGAAGTTATATGTCCATAAAGCTATTTCAAAAGGAAGGATATTAAGGCCACAGGCTGGTTTATACTGTTATCCCAACAGTTAAAGAGAAATACAGAAAATGTAAGAGCAGTGTGTGGTGACTATGTCTACAGTCCCAGCATTTGAAAGGCAGAGTCAGTGGTTGGGGTGTCGCACGCCTTTAATCCCAGCACTCCGGAGGCAGAGGCAGGCGGATCTCTGTGAGTTCAAGGCCAGCCTGGTCTTCATAGTTCCAGGACAGCTGGGGCTACAGGGAAACCCTGTCTCAAAAAAGACCGAAAAAAAAAAAGCAGAGTCAGGAGATTTCTGTTAAAGGCCAACCGGGGCTAGAGTACCTGTTTCCAAAACAAAACAAAGCTGAGCAGAGACAGTGTACTTGTGATCCCAGCACCTGGAGGTGAAGGTGAAGGAAAGAAGATCAGGAGTTCAAGGCCAGCATGAGACCCTGTTTCAAAAGAAAAATGGATAAAACTCCAAAAAGTCAAGAAAAAAAAGAATAGTATAAAAACATTTTGGGAAATCGGGCTGGAGAGATGGCTTAGCAGTTAAGAACACTGACTGCTCTTGCAGAGGACCCATGTTTGAGTCCCAACACCCACATGGTGGCTAACCAGGGGATCTGATGCCGCCTTCTGACCTCCACAGACATTGCATGACATAGGTGCACTTACATGCAGGCATACACTACATATATATATATATAAAAAACACTTTCCATATATACATATTCTTAATATACACACTATATATTTCCATATATATGGAAACCTAAAAATGTTTATAACTACTGAGAAAAAGTATACATCTTTTTAAAAGGAAATCTTGTATGTTTGCGGGTTGCAAGACTCAATGTTGTGAAGGTATGAACCCTGGCAACACAGCCCAGAATGTAGCACATCTGGATGTGTTTTAGAAACCTGATGGCTCCCTCAGAATTTATGAAAATGCAGTGAACAGAGCCACACTGCCTTTGAAGGCGGTAGGAGGACCCTGCCACCCAAATGTTTGAATTGCCTGCAAAGCCCACAAAACTGGCTGCTGCACAGGAGACACATAATGGAAGGTCCTGGCGTGTGAACTAAGGAGGAGCAGTGATGGCTGTCTGTGGAGCTGAGGCAGTCATTTTCCAGGCAGCTACTCTCACACATAGCCAGTGATACATGTGATAGCCCATGGTAACAGGGAAGATTATAAAACAGCTACTATGAGGTACCTCAGAAGAACATGAGTTCAAGTCTAAGTGGAAACAGGCCTCAAAACTAGTGTCTGATCAACTACATAATTGTTTTAAGGATCAACTGGGCGTGGTGGTGCACATCTGTAATCACAGCACTTCAGAGGCTGAGGCAGGAGGATCACTGTGAATTTAAGGCCAGCCTACACCATGTAGTAAGACCCTCTCTCAAAAATCTAAGGATCTGGAGAGATGACTCAGAGATGGCTGTTCTTGCAGAGGACCTGGGTTCAGTTCCCATCACTCACATGCTGGCTAACACTCATCCTTAACTCCAGTTCCAGGGGATCCTAGTCCTCTTCTGGCCTCTGCTGGTATTGCGCTGGTGTTCTTACATGAAGGCAAAACACATATAAAAATAAATTAAAAAAACAACAAACCATAAAAAGCACAGGCCTGTAATCCCAGGATTTAGGAGGTGGAGGCAGCAGAATCAGGAGTTCCAAGGTCAGCTTGAGCTACATGAGACCCTGTCTCACAAACAGAAAATGCTGGGTGTGGTGGTGTACACCTTTAATTCCAGCATTCAGGAGACAGATGGGGATTTCTGTGAGTTTCAGGTCAGCCTGGTCTTCACAGTATCAGGCCAGCTAGGGCTACACAATGAGATCCTGTCCCCCTCCCCCTAAAAAACCCAAAGAGTAAAAAAAACTGTGGCGGGGGGGGAGTGTATAGGGGTGCTAAAGTACTTGCCTTGCATATACACGGCCCTGGGGTTCCATCCTAGTACCATGAGAATGAGAAGCCTAGCCATAGTGCAAGAGAAGAACACTTGTGACACTCCTGACAGGACTTGCATCTGGAATGAAAAAAAAAATCTCATACTGATAGACAACCTGACAGAAATTGACAAGAGGTTAAAATGTGCTAAAACAGGTAGTGCTGTCTCACCAGGGGTCAAGAAAAAAATGGAGCAACATATAAAGACAGAAGTTTTAGGGAAGACATGCACTGTCCGGTGGCCCCTTGAGTCCTGCCCCCACAGAAACACACATGTGCCTCACAGGCCTCACAGTTGTGGTCCACAGCACCACTGGCAAACAGCCCTGGAGGGAATGGTGAGTGTCCAGCCAGAACAGATGCACCAGGATGCCTGCATCTCACTTGGATGTCTGAGGAAGTAGACCCAGCATGCTCAGGGATAGGCATCAGCCCGAGGAAAGACACCAGGGGGTAAAGCTGGACAGAACGGTTGGGCTGTTGAAGGGGGGGATGGGGCATGGTGGGGGGCTCCATGTGCTTCTGTGTGGCCACAGGGTTCAGAACGTTGATGTGGTTCTAACCAAGCTGTTGAAAGCCTTGTAGGGCGTCCAAACCACATGAAACTGGACTTGGGATAGACAGGAAGTGATCCAGACCCAAAGTGAAACAGCAGGGACACTGACCCCTTTCCCAGTCTACCTGGAGACTCACTCCTACCTGGCCCCTGTTCTCAACAGAGGCTGAGGCTGGCCACTGGCCCCGAAGCCCTGCTGAAGCCGCACTTTTGCTGTGTAAACTGCTCTGTGGCTCTGGGCGGGGCCTTTCTCCTTGCCGATCTATAATTTCTCAGAAGAGAGGTTGAGGATTGTCCTGGAAAATGTCCTGGAGACGAGGTAGCATGGTGGAAGTTACTGTCCTACTGCCCAATCCAGACCAGACTTGTCTACTACTCCTGCCTGCTCAGAGGTAGGTCTCGATGTCTTCCAACCCCTCAAGAAGCTGTCCCTCCTCAGACCCAGCACTGCCTTTCCTGGCCCCTCCTGTGTACATTCCCACCATCCCAGGCAGGGCAAAGGGACAGCTCAAAGCAGGGTTTGCTGAGCTGTGGAGTCAGCCAGGCTGCCCTGGAGGAGGAAGCTGAGATGTGGCTCTGGCAGGTAAATGGAGCCAGGGTCAGCATGAGGGCCCAATAAGCAGGTTTCTCCCCTCACCTCACCCAGGGTGTTTGCACACAGGGGAGTAATGGGTAGACAGGCCATGAGGAGGGCAGCCGGTGGAGGCTGACTGGCCGTTGGCCAATAGGGCTTGGGTGCCCCACTGTCTTCCTGCCAGCCTTTCCTAGGAGAATAGTGCTGGGGAAAGCAAACATGAAGTGGCTGGTGGCCCTGCCAGGTGTTCCTAGAAGAGGCCTGGGGGACGGGCAGCGACCATGGCCAGACATCAGCTGACCTTGAGGCCATAGGAGAGCTGAAGCTGGGCCCTGGACAAAGCCCTGGGCCTGAGAAACACAAATGGTGGGACCCACTGAGGCTGTTAGGAAACCCCAGTGCTGGACAGACAGGAGGGGCCTTGGGAAACAGGGCAGCAACTGCTTAACCCTGACACAGCCACCTGCTCAGTCTGGGGGTCAGTTGGGGGATCCCCAGGAACCCAGGAGCTACCCAGTGGTACTCCCACCTTGGCTGAACCTACTAGGAGACCAGGTCCCCCAAACCTTCCTTGCCAACCAGATCCTAACGTTACTTGGGCAGGGGTGGAGAGGAAGAGGGTAGCTCTACAAGTTCCACCCCCAAACCTAACCACAGGGGGCACAGGGTACAGCAGCCTTCAGAGTCCCACTACATTCTACTCAGGTTCTGAGGGCAGCTTTGGGGCAGACAAAGCCCCGCCCCCTACGCCCTTCCTTGCACTGTTTGCACTCAGGGGACTTGCTGACGACACTGGCCACCCAGCACAAGAGGGTTAACGGAGCTGGAGTGTGGGGCAGGGCCAGCCTACGGCAGTGGGGCAGCAGCACAGCACTGCAACAGCCCTTGCTCATTGCCTGCTTGTAGCCCGCTCTGCACAAGGCATGATGGCCCTGAGGACAGGTGAGGAGCCAGAGTCCCCTGCCATTTACTCTGAGGGTAGCCAGCCCACAACCCTGAGCTTACTGTGAGAAGCTGCAGCAGGCACTTGGGTGGTCAGGTGGGGACTCTGGGTTGGGTCTTGGATACAATTGAGCCTAGCACCAGGAGGTCTCTGTTCCTTTCTTCCTCCTTCCCTCGGTGGCGGCACAGGGAAGGGAGGGCCAAATGAAGGTAGGGTAGGCAGGAACAAGTGCCAACCCTTGGGTTCAACAAGGTACAGAAATGGAGATTAGTGCTCCCCACAACCCTACCTTGTGGTCTTACAGGGATGAAATGCCATCCATAGCCCACCCCACTCTCCTGGTTACTGTTCCCCTCAGGGGCCTCGTCCTGGATGAGTAGGAGTCAATGTCTTACTCCTTGCCCATTTCTGGCATACCATCCTGATACCTGGGGCATTCCCCCCAAATCTCACTCCAGAGCCACCACTACCCTGTCAATAGCAGAGGCACTACTTAGGCCTAGAATGGTACTGCCCAACCTGAGCTGGAGTGCTGAGCACAGAGGTGGATTTGGATTTGGAGTACTGTTTCTGGGGTGCTGGCCAGATCTCAGCCAGGTCCCTGAGGCTTGATGTCAAGTGAATAGTCTGGGTTCCCACTGTTCTGAGGCCTAGACCCTACTTTTTGGCCAGCAGAGGTTACAGCTCACATAAAATGGGGAGCAAGTAAGTTGTATGCTTTCATCTATGGGCCCAACTGGTAGAGGGTGTCCAGCTCACTGTCCAGTCAGAGGACCCAAAATGGATATACTGTTGGTGTCTATTCCAGAATATTCTGAGAACAGTCAGGTCTTGGCCAGCAGCTTGGTTCCGTTTCTTAGCCTGGCTGGGGTGTATGTCCCAGAGGACACAGACTGCCATAAGGCCTAGTAACCAGGGCTCAGGCTGCCTGCCTGTGCCATGGCCAGGGTAAAATGGAGAACTCAAACCCTCATTGCCCCTGCAGTGAGATGGGACCACTACTTGCTGGACCTATGGGTTGGGAAAGTGAAGTTTTTTCAGAACAGAGGACTTGGCTGTCTTGCCAGTGTCTGCTTGGTATCAAAGTGGGGGGGACCATGTTTTAGTACACAAATGACATCCTTTTCTTGCTATGATGTAGCCTGGAAAGTCCAGGGTTTGGCTTACATTATAGGGCCACAGGCTCCCGAGCGCCACCTTGCCAAGCCCCTCTCCCCACAGGAGGCCCAGCCCTGGTGGTACTTCTGGCTTCCTGGGTGGCACTGGGCCCTTGTGGCCTGCAGGGAACAAAGACCGGAGCAGCAGCAGATTCTGAGGGCCCCCCATGTCCAGTCATCTGTACCTGCAGTTATGATGATTACACGGATGAGCTCAGCGTCTTCTGTGGTGCGAGGAACCTCACACAGCTGCCTGATGGCATCCCAGTTGGCACCAGGGCCCTGTGGCTTGATGGCAACAACCTCTCCTTGATTCCCTCAGCGGCCTTCCAAAATCTGTCTAGCCTGGACTTCCTCAACTTGCAGGGCAGCTGGTTGAGCAGCTTGGAGCCAGAGGCGCTTCTGGGCCTAAAGAACCTATACCATTTGCATCTGGAGCGGAACCAACTCCGGAGCCTGGCACCCAGCTTGTTCACACACACCCCTGGCCTTGCCTCGCTCAGCCTGGGCAACAACCAGCTGGGCCGGCTGGAGGAGGGCCTGTTCCGGGGCCTCACCCACCTCTGGGACCTCAACCTGGGCTGGAACAGCCTGGTGGTACTGCCTGACACTGTATTCCAGGGCCTAGGCAACCTCCATGAGCTGGTGCTGGCTGGCAACAAGTTGGTCTACCTGCAGCCAGCACTCTTCTGTGGCTTGGGAGAGCTGCAGGAGCTGGATCTGAGCAGGAATGCACTACGCAGCATCAAAACCAATGTGTTTGTGCACTTGCCCCGGCTACAGAAGCTGTACCTGGACCGCAACCTTATCACAGCTGTGGCCCCTGGTGCCTTCCTCGGCATGAAGGCACTGCGTTGGCTGGACCTGTCCCACAACCGAGTGGCTGGCCTCCTGGAAGACACCTTCCCCGGTCTATTGGGCCTGCATGTCCTGCGCCTGGCACACAATGCCATTGCCAGCTTGCGGCCACGTACCTTCAAAGACCTACATTTCCTGGAGGAGCTGCAGCTTGGCCACAACCGTATCCGGCAGCTAGCTGAGAAGACATTTGAGGGCCTGGGGCAGCTGGAGGTGCTGACGCTCAATGATAACCAGATCCAGGAGGTCAAGGTGGGTGCCTTCTTTGGCCTCTTCAATGTGGCTGTCATGAACCTCTCTGGCAACTGCCTGCGAAGCCTCCCAGAACAGGTGTTCCAGGGCTTGGGCAAACTGCACAGCCTGCACCTGGAGCACAGCTGTCTGGGCCACATCCGCCTGCATACCTTTGCTGGCCTAACAGGGTTGCGCAGGCTCTTCCTCAGGGGCAACAGCATCTCTAGCATTGAGGAGCAGAGTCTGGCAGGATTCCCAGAGCTCCTAGAGCTCGATCTTACCACCAACCAGCTCACACATTTGCACCCCAGGCTTTTCCAGGGTCTTGGTCAGCTGGAGTACCTGCTCCTCTCCCACAACCGGCTGTCAGTGCTGTCTGCAGATGTCCTGGGCCCCCTGCAGAGGGCCTTTTGGCTGGACATCTCCCACAACTGCCTGGAGGCACTGCCTGAAGGCCTCTTCTCACCACTGGGACAGTTGCGCTACCTCAACCTCAAGAATAACTCCTTGCAGACCTTCTTGCCGCAGTCTAGCCTAGAACGCCTGTGGCTTGATGGCAACCCCTGGGACTGCCGTTGTCACCTGAAGGTACTAAGAGATTTTGCCCTGCAGAACCCCAGTATTGTTCCCCGCTTTGTTCAGACTGTCTGTGAGGGGGACGACTGCCAGCCCGTGTATACCTATAACAACATTACCTGTGCTGGCCCTGCCAACATCGCAGGCCTCGACCTGAGGGACATCCGTGAAGCCCATTTTGCACACTGCTAGATCAGCTATTGACCTAGTCTGGCCAGGCACTGCCCTGCAGTCAGTCAGGACAGGGCCTTACCACCAGAATAAGTTGGCTTCCACAGCCTGGGGGGAAAACAACTGGCCAGCTCTAGGGGACAGGTCCTGGACTGTTTACTTCCTGGATGCTAGGTAGTCCTGGCAGCTACTTGGCTTGAACTAAGAATGGGTGGGCATGGGCCAGGTGCCCAAGGGCCTGAGGAGAGCTCAGCAGCTCTCCTTGCTGGCAACAATTAAAAGCAAGCACTAAGCATAGATTTTGACTTTAAATGTACTTGGGGAGGGTGGTCTGTGGTCTCCCTGTCCTCTTTCCTTGCCCCTTCTATCCTTTCTTGGTTCTGCTCAAGCCCAGGCCTGTGTCTTGCTGGTGTTGGGAACATTTGTGACCCCCTATCCTGGCCCAGATCCTGCTATGTCCATACCTTCTTGGGCTTCTCTGAACCCTTTCCTCCAACCTAAAGAACAGTCTTTCAAAATGTTGGCATCTTGTCCCTCCCACTCAGGGCATCATATAGGGACCAGGCATGGTTTTCACAGGTGGTGTTCTGATCCCACATAGCCACTGCACAGGTATAGAGGTCATTACTCTCTTGGGCAACACTAGTGTGTGCTGGGGGCAGGAGCACAATCACAATTCACTCTGATGGGAACTGGTGGGAGCTGGGGACACTTGTCACTGCCTTCCCACCTGGCTGCAGGAACCATCCCCTGTAAGATCCCCAGGCCCTGAGTTGCCTCTGGAGACCTGAGCTTTGTCCTAGGAAGGAACACTCATCAGGCTTTCTTTCCTGATCTTCCAAAAGGGTCCCTCACCTTTGAACTTGCCTCCTCTGGCTTTAGGCTGCCTCAGGCCTTCAGCAGTGTGCCTAGCAGGGCCACGCATAGGTTTCTGGTAAAACAAAATACATCACCCAGCCCCAAGATAAGACACACATGCCCAGGGAGTCCTCAGGAGCCTGGATAAAGAATCTAATACTGGCTGATCTAGTTTTGGAAGGAAAAGCCACCTCACCATTGAGGACGGAAGTATCTGGATGCTGGACTCATCACAAAGCTGTGTGACACATTTAATGGCAGATTCCTGTAAAGTTACCAGATGTACCTGTGAACCATACAGTGCCTCACAAGATACTTGATGGCAGAGCACTCATAGGCTCTCAGGGTTCTGGGGACACAGGGTCACCCAGGATGCCAAAGTACTGGTGAGCTCATGCACAGTGTGGCTGTCAGGGCAGCCTGTCCATTTGGGGCACAGAGGTGACCAGGACTGGACAAAGCCCATGGGCTGGTGGTAAGGCTGCTAACTTAAGACACAAGGATCCAAATCATCCCCTTAGCCACATGCTGGCCTGGTGGAGCTGCTGTTGGCAAATTCTTCTTAAACACTACTAGAAAATGCTACTAGGGCCCACACAGGGAGATCTCTGCATAGAAGCAGCTACTAAGACCAGCCATTGCCCAGGCTAGCCACTCAGGTCCCAGGACCAGTCCAGTGGACCTCTGTTCCCCAAGTTCTCATAGGCTGTGACCAGAGCCCAGAGCAGCACCAGGACACAGTTGTGGGGCTGCCTGTCAGGAAAACAGAGCAGGTATCCCATTCAAAACTTTCTGGGCTATGGAGGTGAGTGCAGGGAATGCAGAACTCTTGGGGAACTCTTGCATGAAGTCACGGCCCTCCTCCAGGCTCCTGGTAAGCTCAGGGTCCAAGGGAACAGAGCCTGCAACAACAGAAGGAGTAAGGAAGGGACTGGTGAGATGGCTCAGTGGGTAAAGGTGCTTTCTGCCAAGCCTTGAACTTGAGTTCAATCTCTAGGACCCACATGGTAGAAGGAGAGAACTGACCCCTACAAGTTGTCCTCTGACTTCCACATGTACACGACAGTATGTGCTCACCCACACATCCTGCCTCTGAAATGAATAAAGAGGCCTGAAAGGTGACTGTGGAGTGTGAGGAGTGTCCATATACTGCCCCCGTCAGGAACTGAAGCTGTTGTCTTTTCAGCACCCAAGATTGGCCTCACATGATCTCTCACCCTGACAGATGTATTCTCAGAACTGCAGCTGGGTAGGGGGCAGCCCAGATAAGACTCAAAGGACCTACGTAGAGAGAGGTCCCCAACGCCATGGTCAGATCCACCTAGGACAGAAACCTGGTAAGGGGAAATTGGGGCTCCAGCTGGCTTGTTCTCCAGACTTACCTAAAAAGGGGACTCCAGCCAGCTGGGCCAGCTCCTCTCCACCGCCCCTGGAGAAGACATTGGTGCACTCCTAGGAGACATGGGCCATGAAGGTCTACTTTGCAGACCCACTCACCATGCTGAAGTCCAGGATCAGGGCAAAATCTATAGCAGGTCCAGGGGGAATGCCTAGGTAGTAATTGGTGGGCAGGGGACCTATTCTTCTAAGCCCCTACCAGCCTGACCTGTCTTGAATTCCCTCAGGTCCCATAACAGCCCACTCATCTTCCAAGACTCACAGCACAATGTGGGCAGACGAAGCCACTCATGTTCTCCACGACCCCTATTACTTGCAACCCAGTCTTCCTACAAAACGTCAGCTCCCGCCTCACATCCCCTACAGACACCGCCTGCAGGTCAGAGTCAGGAGGGGCCAGTTAGCCACAAATCAGCCAGGGTCAAGTACTGAGCAGGAAGGATGGCCCACCACAGCCCAGCCCAGCTAGGAAAGTGACATACACACATGAAGTGGAAGGGGATGAGGATGCTTGGTGGTACCTGTGGTGTGGTGATCACAAGGGCCCCCAGGGGCCTGTAGGGACGCAGGGCTTCCATAGTGGCCATGTGCTCATCAGAAGTCCCTGGGGGTGTGTCAACAACCAGAAAGTCGAGCTGCCCCCAGGCCACATCAGACACAAACTGTTTTATCAGTGCTGCAAAGAACCCAAAGACCAGTGGATCCTGAGAAAGGGTTGGGCATGGGGTGGCCCACCTAGCCTAGCCCCAGGCTCCAACAGCTGCTAGTGCGCAATTCCCAGGGAACTCTGGGACCACCTGCTACATGAGGCAGTGAGTATCCTACTGATGGTTTTCAAACAAGAGCTGGGAGGCAGGGCCTCTGGTCTCCACAAGTATTTCTTGCTTCCCAGCAGTTGTATCACCCCCCACCCCGCCAGTACCAAACTCTGTCTCTATATTCTACCCAACAGGGCTGTAGCCAGCTCCCACAAAGACTCTACGTGAGAATGGTACCTTGACCTTCCTGAAGGCCTCTGTACCTTCAAGCCCAGAGAAGGTGACCTGCCATGAGTACCTCATCAGTGGGTCCAGGAGCAGCTGGCCATCTACCCTGAGCATGCTTGTTTTTCCTAGGCAACCTCTCACTGCAGTCAGGGTAGTTTAATGCTACCTGCTACTCAATATCAGCACTCTGTCCCACACACACCACATGACCTCAGGTCCCTGTGTGGAGGCTGCAGTTCTCAGTAGACTGGTCCATTCCTAAGTGAGAGCTGGGGATGCTATGGGCAATGGTTTTACAAAAAAAAAAAAAAAAAAAAAAAAAGCCCCGCAAAAGCTTTTTTTTTTTGGCCTTATTTCAAAACCCCCAAAGCCTGACTCGCTCTAAAGGGGGGGGGGGGGTTGCTTGGGGGAAGGGTTTTTAAAAAAAAAAAAAAAAAAAAAAAAAAATGCCAGCAACAGCTTCTCTATCTTGGCCTTATGTCACAACCTCCAGAGCCTGACTCGACTGTAATGGAGTGTGTGTGCAACACCTCAGGAACACAGGAACGAGACTCTGCTGGGTGGGCATGAGTGGAAAGTTGGGGTGTTTCCATGGGACAGAGTCTCTAATACCAAGAGGCCAGGGTTGGCGTCTAACATTACCAAAAGTCAGCAGCCAAGAGAAGAGGAAGGGAAGCCTCAGTAAAGAAGTGCTGAAGAGTGGGCAGGGGCAGGGTAGGAAGCCACCAGCACCTGTCCCCTCCAGGTCCTTACCATTCTTTTTGGGACCTTTCCACACCACAGCCTCATCGGGGTTTTCTAGCAGGAAGCCCACAGACATGAGGGAGATGCTCTGCTCCTGATCCACAAAAACAGGCACCCAGCCCTGGTCACACTGGTGCACAGCCTTGCCCTGGGAACCGAGCATTCGTGGGATGCTGGGGCCACACAGGTCCACATCCAGGATCCCCACCTGTAAGGAAAGAGATGCTAAGGCACAGAGAGAAACTTGCCAGGCCTGCTGGTGTGGGGACAGTGGGGTGGCACCCATGTTAGCACTAGTCAAGGTCTCACCTTCTTGCCCTGGTGGCGCAAGGCCAGGGCCAGCTCTGTGGAGATGGTGCTTTTTCCAACCCCCCCCTTTCCAGAGAGAACAAGGATGATGTGTCGCACGCCGGCCAGGTTCCCGGGCTCTGGAGAGAAACAGGAGTTGGGGCATCCGGGAGGGCAACAATGGCAAAAGTCCTCAGACAGGTGTTCTACAAGCCTCAGACCTGTCCTGGCCTCACTTCTGAAGTGTGTGTGGGATCATTGGAGACACGTGGACTCGAGATTCAGTGTACGAATGCACCCGAGTGTGAGAAATCCACAAACTGCCGGTTAATTCCAACAGACACAGAAGAACAGGATCCTTATTAGTCACGTGGCGCCTGTGTACTAAGGCACTCTACACCCTAGAGTCTGGAGAGGAGGCCTTGGGCCTCTGGTTCTCCGGGAGGAGGAAGGCTGACGACCCAGAGCAGTCACAACCGCCTGCCTGAGCATCCGCGTCACCCAGCTGACTGACAGGAGCACGCTGCGGAGGGCTTCCCGAATCCCGAAGAGACAAGACAGCCACTGAATGACCTGGCTTCCCAAACCACTTCCTACGCACGTCACCAGGAAGACGCTGCACTCAGTCCGCCTACGACCCAACCTTCAAACTTCCACCACCTCCATACTCACCAGCCGCAGCCTCCATTCCTCCAGCCACCAGCTGCACTACGCAGCTTCCTTCCGCTTCCTCCCCCAAAATATCCCAGGAGCCTTTGAACTAACTAACTCGTTTTAATAGGCTTAGGCCCACGTCTCTCAGCCAATCAGGTCTCTCGAGAAGGTCCCGATCGTGGCCACAGGTGATGACGTTACGAAGCCGGATTTACTTCCGTAAACACGTCCAATGGGCGTGCAAGCATCCCATTGACGACTCTATCGATGACCAGTGGAAACCTCGGCTGAGGATTGACAGGCCCTTCAAGCCCCTCTGCAGCAGCCCTGTCTCCCTAGTCCCGCCCCCGAGCCAAGCGCTGCAGGAGCGCCCGCCTCCGGCTGTCCAGCCAATGCCGTGCGGAGGCGGGGATTGTTTACGTTGTGGCCCGAGCCTAAAGTAGGTCAGCGCTGAGCGGCTCGGCGGTGGCAGCAGGTGAGCAACGCCGGTTCTGCCCAGCTCCGCGGGCGGCGCGGTGACCTTGCGGGCGGTTAGGCCAGCCACCGTTTGTGCCCCGGCGGCGATGCGCGGGAGGCTGGGAGGGGGCCGCGGGTTCGGGCGCGGCGGGCACCATCGCCGCGAGCCACCGGCGTGGGAAGCAGCCTTCGGCTCCGCGTAGGCCGAGCGTGTCCGCGTCCTAGGGAGTCGCTGGCTCATTCATTGAGCTGTGTGCTCCGGTGTGGCGCTCAGCCGGCCCGCTGCTGCGGACTGAGGGGCGCGGCCGCGCTCGGACCCTTTGTGGGTGGCCTGCGTGAGGTAGGATAGGTTGTGTGGAGGGGACGGCAGGCACTCGGGCAAAAGCTAGGACAGAACTGGCTACTGGATACAGGCAGCCCACTCGTGAGTGGAGAACCAGCCCTCCTCGAGCCTTGTATTTTGTCTCAAGAGCAACGTCAAGCTCGCGTAGATTTGAAGGTTGTGTCAGAAAGAGCCGAGTTTGTACGGTATGGAGCGGGAGGGTCAGAGTAAGTTGTGGGTACCCAGAGACTTGGAGGACCGCCTCATGTGTGGTGGATGGAGGGGTATCAGGGATGGATGACTGCTGTGTTTCTGGCATGAGGAACTGGATGCTGGAGATGCCATTTGTCAAAGTGGACAACGGAGGAGGAGCAAGTTAAGTGTGATATGCCTGAGGGGCAGCAGCTTCTGAATGGAGAGCAGAGATGGACTGGGGCATCTCCAGAGTCATGGGTGTCTGGGTGGCGTTTCACGCCATCGTCCTGGGTTTGATCGAGGTGGTCAGATACTGGAGCAAGGTATGAGCTTGTCGGAAAATTTCTGGAATCCAGGCTCATGGAGCTGCCCCGCCCCCCACCTTTTGTTGGGCCTATGGCCTAGCCTGCCAGGTGTCCCAGAAGTGGCAGGGGTAGAGTTGTAGGGTGGGGATATGGGCTAGATTTGGGCATCTTCTGCCATACTGTCTCTTAAGTTCTGAATTATGTCTTCTTCCAGGTCCTGTCCACCATGGCTCGACGCCCTCGGAGCAGCAGGGCATGGCACTTTGTCCTAAGTGCAGCCCGCCGAGACGCAGATGCCCGAGCCATAGCTCTGGCAAGCAGTCCTAACTGGGGCTATGATTCCGATGGGCAGGTAGGTCCCAGTGGCAAGATGAACATGGCCAGTCTATGGATGAGGAGTCAGAAAAAGATGCTGAGCCAAGTGACTGGACTGTCTCCTGGTTCACCATGCTTGGCAAGGTTCTTTGGTGTGGTAAAAACATGTAGTCTGAAGGTGACAGACTCAAGATAGGCAGGGAGCCTTCCCAGGGAATGGCAGTCCTAGATAGTGCTGTTCAGCCCTCAACTTGGTACATACCTCTGAAGGTTTCTTTTTCCTTATTATTGTATTTATATGGTGTATGTGTACCACAGAGTGTGCATGGATGTCAGAGGACAACTAGAGTGTAGTTTGTTCTTTCCTTCTACCTTTACTTGGGTTCTGGGGATCCAATTTATGTTGTCAGGCTTGTACAGCAAATGTTTACCTACTGAACCTTCTTGCTGGACCTACATGTTTCATTTTTCAGTACAAGTATTCACTTTACATTCATGTATGTGTCTAAAAGCATCTGTGGTTTACTTTCTGTTGATATTTTTAGATATGGTCTCATGCTGTACTTTAGGCTACCTTCAACTTGAGGCAGTTTATTGTGTATGAGTGTGTGGACATATGTGCTACAGTGTGCATGTGGAGGTCAGAGAACAACTAATGGTGGTCAGTTCTCTTCTTCCACCATGTGGGACCCTAGGATTAAACTCAGGTCATCAGACTTGGCAGCAAGTGCCCTTCTTTTTTATTTGTATCTGTGATTCTTGATATTTACATTTCCCAAGCCTTCCTTGCTTGGAGACTCTCTGAGCACGGGGAGGCCCAGGAATACAGGGCAGGGGTAGAGATGGACAGGATTTTTGCTCATCTCTCTACGACTTCTAGGTCTGTGGGGCACAGTGAAGGGGTAGCTCCTCATCTGGCTTCCTGAGGTGTCATTGTAATGGAGGTCTGGTTCTGCCTTATGTTGCCTCTGACCTGGTCAGCAGCATCCAGGCCCTTCCTGGGTCCTCTGAACTTGATAGGCGAGCTCAAATTCCAGCTACACCTCTAGCTCCCAGTGACAGTGTGTCTTTGAGTAGACTATGCTTCACAGGCTCTTCACTATGGGACTGCGGTAGTGACACACACATGCTGTGTGTCATCTGTCATCTAATGGGCCTGTCATCCATGTGGGCAGTACCTGATCTCCCCTGGGCCCTGTGTTGGCCTAAGTAGTACCCTCCCTTCCTTTTGCCCTGGAGCCAGCCAGGGTGGATCAGATTGACTTTGGCTCTTGACTCAGTGGGTCAGCCTTGATTTTGGAGGACCCTCTGTTTATACCAGTGGCGTACAGCCCTCTAGGTCTGGCCTATCTAGACCTCCCCTCTAGTCAAGATAGCTATTTTGATTGGCTCCTGAGGGGCTTCGGTTTATCTTAGCTGACTAAGCACGCTCAGGTCTCTGTTGCTGGCTGCCACCTCGATTGCCCAGCAACCATGATGGTTCTCAGTAATGGGTGACCTGGGGACCCTCCCTGACGAGCTCAGGGGCATACAAAGTAACTGAATGGTGTGGATTGGTCAATGGTTGGAACCTGGTCAGCTCAGCCTTATCTGTACCTATACTAGGTCCCTAGGATTGAAAGCTCAAGCCACAAGGACTGTACCTCTTTGGAGGAGTTTGCTACAACTGAGGCTTGAAGCAACAGTGTCAGCCCATTAGGCTCATTAAGAGCTCCTGACTTTCCTCCAGTGATGGGGCCACATCCCAAGACAGGATCAGGATCAGGATCAGGATCAGGTCTTTTGATGTGAGGAACCTCATGCTGGATCTTGCTGTCAGAACCATCCCAGTGGTTTAGGAGAAGGCAGGAGGTAGTCTCTGACAGCTGGATTTTCAGGGCTCCCGGCTATGGAGAAGTGGGGCTGTGGTTTGTATATTGAGCCTCAGATATATCAGGAATCCATCTGAGAACCTATCCCCCAGGAGCCATCTCCCCACCCCCACTGTACCAGTCAGGCACAGAGGCCAGGTCTCTGCACTGAGATGGGCTATGCTTAGGACCCCTGGAAGTTCAATTTCCCTTCCCTGGTGAACATCAAAAGGGATCAGGTAAGCTGGCAGTGGGAGGGCTGCCATAGGAAGGAATCTGTCCCTTCCCTTCCAGCATAGCGATTCAGACTCGGACCCCGAGTACTCGTCCCCGACACCATCCATCCCCAGTGCTGTGCCTGTGACTGGAGAGTCCTTCTGTGACTGTGAGGGCCAGAGTGAAGCTGCTTTCTGTAGCAGCTTACATACAATACACCGTGGCAAGGACTGCCGCTGTGGCGAGGAGGACGAGGGTGAGTGCCCTGCTAGAGGGGCCTATCTGGAGGCCTGGGTGGGTTCTCTGGGAGCAGTAGAGTGGCTCTTGTCTCTAGCTCTGCCTAGCTTGGGCCCTTTCTGTATTGCAGATTTCGACTGGGTCTGGGATGACCTGAACAAGTCCTCTGCCACCTTGCTGAGCTGTGACAACCGCAAGGTCAGCTTCCACATGGAATATAGCTGTGGCACTGCAGCCATCCGGGGCACTAAGGAGCTGGGGGATGGCCAACATTTCTGGGAGATCAAGATGACCTCTCCTGTGTATGGCACCGACATGGTAAGTGGTCCAGGCAGGAGGGCAGCTGCCATGGGCCCTGACCCCAGGTACCCCACTGCTTAGCCCCCCACTATTCCCAGATGGTGGGCATTGGGACGTCGGATGTAGATCTGGACAAGTACCACCATACGTTCTGCAGCCTGCTTGGCAGGGATGAAGACAGCTGGGGCCTCTCCTACACAGGTGGGTTCTGCCCCTGGGGTGGGAGTGGGCCCAGCAATACAGCAGACCTCCCAGGCTCACCCATCTCAACTGCCTCCAGGGCTCCTTCACCACAAAGGCGATAAGACAAGTTTTTCTTCACGCTTCGGCCAGGGCTCCATCATTGGTGTACATCTGGATACCTGGCATGGGACATTGACCTTCTTCAAGAACAGGAAGTGCATAGGTAAAAGTGTTTTCCCTCACTCTGACCCTGAGTGGAGTTCAGAGATGGGAGCCTACAGGGTGGGGCCAGACAGGCTACGAATTGAGGCTGCTTTGAGGATAGACAGGGCTGAAGCCAGCGTTGAGCCCAGCTTCCTTGCTCAGAGCAACAAACTGCTCACCTTGCAGCCCCTTTCCTGGCCCTTCCTGAGCCATGAGGGACTTAGGCTGTTTCCCTTCCAGGAGTGGCTGCCACTCGGCTGCAGAACAGGAGGTTCTATCCAATGGTATGCTCCACAGCGGCCAAGAGCAGCATGAAGGTCATCCGCTCCTGTGCCAGCTCCACCTCCCTGCAATACCTGTGTTGCTACCGCCTGCGCCAGCTTCGACCAGACTCTGGTGACACTCTTGAGGGTTTGCCCCTGCCACCTGGCCTGAAGCAGGTGCTGCATAACAAACTGGGCTGGGTTCTGAGTATGAACTGCAATCACCAGAAGCCCCCTGCGCCCCCACCTGGCACAGCCACAACTGGCCCCATGAGTCCTGAGTCCAGGCCCTGTCAGAGGAAGCGCTGCCGAAGGACCTGACTTGTCCAGTGGAAATGGCCTCCTGGGGCTGGGACTGCCTTCCTCTGTCCTTTCCTACCAGGGCAGCAGGAAAGAACTGAGGTGTGACTGGGGTTTTCTCCATCTCCCTGAGGTCAGGATAGTGTGGGGGCTTGAGGGCCACAGTAGAGGCTATTCTGCTCTCCTAGTGGGGAAGCTCCACACCTGTCTTCAGAGTCTCCCTCCATGTGTCCCAGGAGCAGCAGCTCCTGGACCCAGACCACAAGCCTGGGAGGCTAGCTGACCCCCAGGGTGGTAGACTCACAGCCCAGGGAGAAGGGCTGTTCCCAACCCACAGGACCTTGGGATTTTCCAGGCTTGCTTTGCATGTTGTTAGCTGCTCCTTTTGTCAGCAAGTGACCTGTGAAGGGTTTATTTCTCATTCCCATATGCTATAACATTAAAGAGTCTACAACAAGGCCTCCTGGTCTAACTGTGCCCATGGTTTGTCTTCCACTAGGTCTTTTTCCCAGGGGAGTACCCTAAGCATCCAGGTGGCAGTAGGTTGAGCACTGCCCTGCAGTCTCTTCTGAGTGCCCACCTGGGCACTAAGCCATACCACCAGGCTCCCTGCAGCTACTGTACAAGCCAAGGGGAGGTGAAGCCCCAGCCATTCTAGGGGCTGCCTGCCATCCCCCAGGCTCTTTTGTTTATCCCAGCTTCCCCCCTCACCTCCTGTGGTGCTTACACTTGATCAGCCATGGACAGAGTCTACCCCATGCTTTTGAGAAAGTACTGTGGCTGGGTTCCACCCCTTTGCCTGCCCCTCAGGGTTAGTCTTATGGGTCAGTTCCCAGGGCAGTGGGCTTGTCCTATTAAGCTGATGGGTAAGAGGACGCCTGGGGGTGCCACAGGCATTGGTTAGGAGCCCAGATCCAGCAGGAGGTTGAGGTTCATGGTGGTTAGGAAGATACAGATGCGGTGTGAGAGGTCAGGTCCCACTCTTGGGGGCTGCCTGCCTCTGTGAGCCTTCACCGGGAGGTCAGCCAAGAGGCCCAGGTGTTCCTGCTCTATGCTGCAGGACTCAAGAGCCTAGGGTGAACATAGGTGTGAGCAGGTAGGCCTCAGGACCTGGTCCTGGGAAGGGCGACTTGCGAGATTCACTTGCTGCAAAAGGTGGGGGGAGGAGAAGGCAGTAATGACAGCATCAGCCACAGCTGGGCTGATTCGGTTAAACTGCCTGATCTGTCACCACCATACCTCACAGAGTCCAGAACCATCTCTGGTCACTTGCTGGCCTGAAGCCCGGTGTCCTGCTATGTAGAAGGAAAAGGCCTGGGACTCCCGGTACTGCCTGAAATGAGAGGGGAACCAGAATGAAAACATACGCTGCCCTCCAGCCCTATGCCGCCCTCACTCAGCCTTTGTAGGGATACACACTTAGAGGGGCGCTGGGAGAGGGCCTTGGTGAAGGCACACACATGCTGACTCAGCTCCTGCCACAAGGCCACCAGCAGCACATCCATGTTCACACAGAGCTGAAGCAGCAGTGACTGGGAAGTGTGAGAGGTAGGCCTGGGTTTCCTCTGGGGAACACCAACCTCAACCATGCCAGAAGCCAAACTCAACTCTGCCTGGCCTCAGAGAGCAGTCCAAATGCAGGGACCAAGGCCAGCTGTGTCACTCAACCTATGCTAGCCCTCACCTCCACCTCAGGCCAGCTGATGGCATCTTTGGCATGACCTTCTGTTGACCTCTCCAGCTGCTGTGTCTTCTGGGAACTGGGCTAGTGAGACCTGAGCAGAGGTGACCATCTCTTGGGCTCCCCCAAATCTCCTGCCTCTGCAGGGACCACCCAGAGAAGTGGGACCAACTGTGGCACAGCAGCTGTTAGAGGCACCCCCATCATCTAGAATTCCAGCCCAGCCAGCCCTACTGAGGTTGTTAGGGTGAGTGGTACCACAGGTATGCATCCAGTCCAATGACAGCCAGGTGGAGATGGGTGGGACTCAGGAGAGAGCCAGGGCAGGGAGCAGGGTGGGCCTGTGATCTGAAAGCAAGAACATACACGCACCTGTTCACAGAAGGACTGGGACAGCAGGCCCACACACAGCAGCATGGCCAATTTGCAGAGGAAAGAGAACAAAGTGAAGCCTACAGGTTCTGCACCTATCCCCATGATTCTTTGGAGATCAGCTCTACTTCCTTACATTCTCCCCCAGAAGAACATAGGCACACCTGTTTCTGGAGTTGAAGTGAGTGAGGCCCTCACTTCTATACCCAGTCTGGCCCTTGGCTGGCACACAGCAGGGGCTACAAAAATACTGATCCTTGTAATCTGGCACACACAGAGTTTAGCAGAATTGTGCGCCAAGCAAGTATCAGGTGTACCCCTTAAATCAGGATTACATGAACAGCCAAATGAGGGCTGGATTGTCACTGTTACAGGGAGATCCCACAGCCAATGCTTATTCCATGTGGACACTATCAGTCAGAATTGTCCAAGTTGCCACCAATCCTAGTCCTCCGAAGGACCTTAAATGCTGTGTCCAGAGCACTCTCAGGTTTCTTCATTTCACCAACACCTCTGTGGTTCTTACCAGACAGAAGCTCCAGCCTTGCCCAGACTGAGGAACCAGCCCTACAAGACAATGGATAAGGCCTTTCCCAGTACCTGGGTCAGCTGGGCAGCACCTTGAAGAAACTCCTGGGATTCCAGCAGCAGCAACTGTTCCTGCTCATCCTCAGCAGGTGCCTCAGGAAGCATTTGTGGGGACATTAAGGGTACTGCTTTAGGCCGGTGTGAGCAAGGCCTCTCCCTCTGCTACCCAGCCAATACCAGGCACTGCAGCTCTCCATACAGACAAGCTCAGGCCTGCCAGGACTGCTCCCCAGAAATCCCAGCGTCCAAAACCACTCAACTTCATGAACAGCAGGAACCCTGGCCCCAGCCTCATTGGAATAGGACATCTTCTGGTAGCAGCTGAGTTCAGGTTTCTTGCTCCTGGAGCAGCTTGGGTGTCCTCCAGCTTTTAGGTTACTCCTCTGCAAGGCAAGCACCATTTCAGCTGCCTCTCCAGTGAAACCTCGTACTAGGGCTGGCACTCAGCAAGTGATAGGGAGGCACTCACGACGCGGGTGTCCTGGTGAGGTCCCACTCCGCTCCACCGCAGGCTGCGCGCCAGGCACTGCGGCTCGATGCGGCACTCACAGCCCAAAGCGCCCAGCGCCTCCATCAGAATGTCCGAACCAGCATCTTCTAGGACAGCTGGGACCGACAAGCGACAGCTGGGTCACTCCTCCTTCCACCGAGCCGGCCTGCGAGTGCCGACGCTGCCCTGGAGGGAGCTCGGGATACCCTGCCAATCCACCCCGGCCCCGCACCTGGGTCCACACACACACCGCCAGGCGCCGCAGGACCTGATCCGCGCGCGGCGCCTTAGTTGACGCCCTGAGCTTGCTCACCGCGTCCAGGGCTTCCGCGCCGACCTCCGTAGATGCGGCGCCTTCCGGGTCTGAATCCAAGATCTTCCAGGTGGAGAGACGCCGCTAGCCCCGGCTACGGCGACCGCAACCGCGACATGAGACCGTGGTTCTGCGGGACTTCACCTCGGCCATAGCCCAGCCTTACCGCAGCTTCCGGACGTACCCGGACGCTTTTGCCTAGGACACCCGCCGCTTCCGGCGCCAGAGGACTTCGGAAGCCCAGGATTCCGGCCGGTAAGGACGCAGGTATGGCGCGGAAGAAAGTGAGACCCAGACTGATCGCCGAGCTGGCCCGTCGCGTGCGCGCCCTGCGTGAGCAGCAGAACCGACCGCGAGACTCGGAGCTCTACGCCTTAGACTACGAGACGCTGACCCGGCCGCACTCGGGCCGCCGGCTTCCTGTGCGCGCCTGGGTCGACGTGCGCCGCGAGAGCCGCCTCCTGCAGCTGCTCTCCCGCCTCCCGTCGTTCGGTCTGGGTCGTCTGGTCACCCGCAAGTCCTGGCTGTGGCAGCACGACGAGCCGTGCTACTGGCGCCTCACGCGCGTGCGGCCCGACTATACGGCGCAGGTGCGCACTCTCTCGTTCTTGCCTGTCCTGCTGTACATGTTGGTCGCCCTGGACCACACTGGCCCTGTCCTACCCACACTGAACCACCTGGACCTGTGTCTCTCCGGTACCCATACGTAATTCGGAGTCAGAGGCTTCCGCTCCACATTCCGGGGAGTAGGGGTTTTCTGAGTTGACAAGCTCCCACCTTTCTTTTGCAGAACTTGGACCACGGGAAGGCCTGGGGCATCCTGACCTTCAAAGGTAAGGCTGAGTCGCTGGCAGGAACCGGTGATGGCCAGCATACTATCCAACCAGCACGCAGCCAGCCATGTCTTTCTTTCCCCAGGGAAGACGGAAGACAGTGCCCGGGAAATCGAGCATGTAATGTATCACGATTGGCGACTAGTGCCTAAGCACGAGGAGGCGGCCTTCACTGCGTTCACTCCAAAGCCAGAAGATAGACCGAGCCCTGTCCCCTACCCCCCTCTGCTGCGGGCCATGATCTTCGCGGAACGACGGAAAAACGGAGATACTAGCGTCCAGGAGCCGCTCCTGAACCTGGAGAGGACACGGGTGCATCCCTGGGACTACCCTGCAAAACAGGAGACCAAGGGGAAGGCCAAGGGCACCCCAGTCTAACTGCCAGGGCTGGCAGGGAGGCCCTTGTGGGTCATTTGATGGACAAGTGTCTTTGACTGTGCTCCTTCATTGGAGAATTAGAGACCTTGCAGCCCTGACACCTACCTGTGAATGAGGGGTCCCAGCTGACAGGCTGCCAACACTTCCAGGTTGCCCCTTGCTAGTTCCTGTGGCTAGGAATAAACGCCTGAAGTGGCCTGTGTTGTGGTTTCGTTGCATGAGCGCCTTGGGACTGTTGAGAGGGAAGGTGGCTTTGCAGGGCACTGGTACACACTGTTAGTCTGTCATAGGCGCTGCGGCTGCGCTCTGGGCACCACGGGTCTCTGGGAGAACCCGAGCCCCGGAGTTCCTTTACTGTAGGCCCCGCCCCCGCGCCACCCTGCCCGCTCTATCCGCCGCCATGATCTGCCTGGTGTTGACCATCTTCGCCAACCTCTTTCCCAACAGTGAGCACCGGGGCAGGGAAGGGCTGGGGGCGAGCAGCGGGATAGATCTGACGCTAGGTTTTCGCTAGCCTGCAGCGGCGTGAACGAGCGCACTTTCTTGGCTGTGAAGCCCGATGGAGTGCAGCGGAGGCTGGTGGGCGAGATAGTGCGGCGCTTCGAGAGGAAGGGCTTCAAGTTGGTGGCACTCAAGCTAGTGCAGGTGCGGGAGCATAAGGGACAGGAGGACCTGGGAAGGGTGCGGGCGGAACCCTAGGCCGTGGTGCAGGCGGCCGTTGTTCTCCAGGCTTCCGAAGAACTGCTGCAGGAGCACTATGCTGAGCTGCGGGAGCGCCCCTTCTACAGCCGCCTGGTTAAGTACATGGGCTCTGGGCCAGTGGTGGCCATGGTGAGTTTCCAAGGGCCAGCACGGGGTCGGGGAGGCGTCGGGAATCCTTGAGCTGACAGTAGGCCCTGCAGGTATGGCAAGGGTTGGATGTCGTGCGAGCTTCGCGGGCCCTCATCGGGGCTACTGACCCAGGGGACGCCATGCCCGGCACCATCCGCGGGGATTTCTGCCTGGAGATTGGCAAGTAAGTCTTATCCTAATTTTACCCTGCCACCCCTCAGCCCTTAATGCTTGCTCATTCACTGGTCCCCGTGCAGGAACTTGATTCATGGGAGTGACTCAGTGGAGAGCGCTCACAGAGAGATCTCGCTCTGGTTCCGTGAGGATGAACTACTGTGTTGGGAGGACAGCACTGGACATTGGCTATACGAATAGATGCTTCTGGAGGCTGTGTTGCCAGCCCAAGGTGGTGTAGACTTTTTGGTACCCACAGAACTTGGCAGCAGTAATATGGTTGTGAGTCCACCCAATCTAGTCCACCCAGGGACAGCTGCTCACACCTCCCCTCCCCGTACTTCTTTTTCTAATAAACTACAGAAAACGTTTGTGTGCACTGGCATGGTCCCAAGACAGAGGTAGTGTTAAGACGTTTATTACATACAGAGCAGATATGTGGGTTCACTTGCAGGGCCAAAGCCTGAGTTGCACTAGCCCTTCCTCCAGCTGCACCCACCCAGTTAACCCAAGTTACGTCACACTCCTGTGGGAACTGACAAGGGACATACATCACAGTGGAGATGTGGCAGGGTGGTGGGGAGAAGCCTGCCGCAGCACATTGCTCCAGCTTGTGGTAGCCAGATAGGATCAACAACAGTGCCCCAGGATATGTGCTTCTCTGGTGGGGAGGGGACAGCAGGGACCAGCTAGCCCTGATCAGTGTTCCTGGTGGAGAGTAAGGCCAGGACCAAGAAAGTAGAAAGGCCAGCAGAGCAGGCTACCTTGCCAGGGTGGCCCAGGGCAGTGCTTGCCCCCACACACTTGCTTAGAACTGTGCCCATCTTGACCTGTCCTCAGCCTTTCTGGCCCCTGCCTGGCAGCTTCTTGTCAGTTGCTCTTCAAAGGAACAGATCACAGTGGGCAACCCTAGGCACTTAGTATGTGTCTGGGAGCTGGGCTCCTTGGAGCCCTGTGCAGGAAGCAGGCCCTGGGAACATTACCATCTCCCCATCAACCTGAGCCTGCATCCTAAGACTGACCCTGGGGCAGCCAGGGACACCCTTCTTCCTGAGGCCTGGGCCTGCCCTGGCAGCCTGAGAAATTCTACCCTAGGGTCTTGTTCCTCCAAGGTAAGTCTTGTAGCCCGGAAGACCCTGGAGTACACTGGTTGGTGTGGGGCTGGACAACCTTGGGCTCCCTTGGGTTAATGGGTCATCCTTTGAAGCAGCTGCCCAGGGAGCCTGGCCCTGAGCTTTCATGCCAGGTCCTACGTGAGACCCAGGCTGGGGACTGAGGGAACGGAAGTTTGGAGATGGGAAAGCCCACAGAAGGCTGGTTGAGGTCCGGGAGCCTGGGTAGCCTGAGCCCTATCTCGGCAGAAGGCAGCTGGGTCTGGGTCCCTCTGAGAGACCAAGGGCTTAGGAATCAGGAACCCTGCCTCAGGGCAGCATGCAAAGCAAGTGGACTTGGGAGAAGGCCCTTGTTCTTGCCAGGACTAAGGAGGTCTAAGAGGAACCAGGGCCACATGTGAGGGCCACTGATAGCCATCTTGGTCCTGCCTTGTCCTGAAGGGCCCCTGGGACATCATGTTGGGCTGGGTGCTGGCTAGGGCCAGGAGCTGATATCCCAGAGGCTCTCTCCTCCCTGATGGGAACCCTACCTGCTCCCTCCCAATGACCTGTCTCACCCCTCCCTAACAGCTGGGGATGTTGGACCTCAGGCAAAAGCTGCAAGTTGAGAGGTTAGAAGGGGATGGATGAGCCTGGCTGCCCCAGGGGACAGGCAGAGGGCAGGCGGGCAAGGTCCTATGTACAGTTGGCATCAGGCAGGGCAGGCTTCACTCAGGGGTGTAGGAGACTTGCCACACAATGATGTGGCTGCGCTCAGCCTTGGACAACACAGGCTTCACCTGGTTCACATCCCCGGCACCTTCCTCCGTCTCATCGTCTTCTCCGTCCCCTGGGGGTTTGCAGCCATGAAGAGGGCTCCCACCTGCCCACACCAGGACCCACCTCTGGCCTGTGTCTACTTACCGATGCGGAAGTCAATGTAACCTTCACCTCCACTCAGCACCAGTGCATTCTTCAACTTCTGGCCCTCAGCATCTGCAGCAGGTGCAGCAGGCCCAGGGCCCTCTGATGGGCTGTCCAGAACACTGCCATTGAGAGTGGCCAGCACATTTCCTGTCATGGGGCAGAAGGACCTCAGTACAGTAGCCTTCTAAAATGGCCAAAGCTGTGCCCCTATAGCACAGTGGGCAAAGTGTGGAGCAAGACTGATTGTGCACCTGGCACTGAAACGAAGAATTTGACAGCATCACGGTGCCCGTGGAAGCAGAGCTGAGCCTGAGCCATGGAGCAGTAGGGGATGAAGCTACTGGCTGCCTTGTCACTGCTGTCGTCCCCGTATACGTGGATGACGCCACCAGGGCGGGCCCCCTCCCCAGATGTGGGGGATGTCTTGTTGGCTGGGAACAAAGGGACAGGGAGGTGGGATCTTTTCTTTTCAGCAGGCAGCTGGGAGTGTGGTAGGGGAAGGACGGCATAGTCAATGCCCTGGGCAGATGCTGTTGACTTACCTCTAAGACCCAAGAGCTGGCCTCGGTGCAAGACTACAGCTGGGGAAGAGAGAAGGAAGGCTGAACTGGGCCAGAGATGGCTGGGGAGCCCACCTACCCTTGGAACCCTTTCTTTTTTTTTTTTGGTCTTTTTTTGAGACAGGGTCTCTCTGTAGCCCCAGCTGTCCTGGAACTCACAATGTAGACCAGGCTGGCCTTGAACTCACAAAGATCCGCCTGCCTCTGCCTCCAGAGTGCTGGGCTTAAAGGCATGCACCACCATGCCTGGCAGGACTCTTAGTATGACTGCCCCTTGATAGATATCCCCTGTGGTTGGGGAGCCACTCACTCTCAGTCAGGGGGATGGAGATGACAACCCCGTTGCCAGTGCCCACCCACAGGCGGTTGCCGGCGATGAGAAGGGCTGTGATGCGGACGAAGGAGAAGCCCAGCTTGCCAGTGCCTGAGTGGGGACAGAAAGAGTGGTCAGTTCAACCAGTGCTGAATGTCCCAGTCACTCAGCCTGGCACATCCCCTAACTTAGCATAATTAATTAATTCATCTTGAGACAGGCTCTCATGAAGCCCAGCTTGGTCTTGAACCTGCTATGTAGCTGAGGGTGACCTTTAAACTCTTGTTCCTCCTGCCTTAACTTCCCAAGTGTTGAGATTATAGGCATGTGCTACCATGCCTGGCTCACCCAGCATCTTGCTAACATAAGGCTCGATGTCCACATCCTGCAGGTGCTGGTGGGTGTGAGCATGGTAGAGCCGCAGGGTGGAGTCCAAGCGGATGGAGACCCATACTCCGTCACCAATCCAGGCCAGTTGTCGTACCTGGCTCTCCCGCCTTGGATGGGCATCAAATGACTTCTGTGGAGTCATGGTAGTCAGTCAACAGGGGTGGGTAATGGAGAGGGAAGGGTCCTGGAACTGCTGTAATGTAGGGGGTCACCTTAGTGTCATGCAGCCTCTGATCTGGCAAAAGTCCCTCCCCTCCCTGGAGTCCATTTGTCAGTACTTGCCTCGATCTGCATTGTCTTGGGCTGGATGACGTGCACCTTGTTCTTGTAGCCACACCAGACACGATCATCCACAACAGCCATACAACGGATAGAGTGATGTGGGTGGCCAAGGTCCATGAGGTGGTAGTTGCTCAGGTCCCACTGGCCATCTAGAGAAAGCCAGGATACCTACTCAGGCTTGGCTACGATCTCTCTGCTCACAGGGCTGAGATATAGGACCCATTGCTAAGCTCAGGATGGACCCAGGGACCCAAAGAGCCCTTAGACCTATCTGTAAGGGCAACCAGGCCTTACCCTCACCACGATGGAAGATGGCCAGGGTCCCATCTGCAAGAGCCACCAGTACTCGGCCTTTGACATGCCTGAAATGGGAAGTCAGTGAGGCAGGTTGATGCTGCCTGGGCCCTTGGCTCCCTTACCCCAGCCCTCAGTGGGGGCCACATACACCAGGCTCAGCACAGAGTCTTTCAGCTTGATAGAATGCAGACACTTCTTCCAGTTGGTCACTGCTGAGTGCACGTAGAGCCTGCAGGGTAAGGCAGGTGGACAAGGCTTGCAGGGTTCACCAAGCCCTCCTGCCCAGCCAGGTCCCAAGTCTTGTGTCCCCAGCTGTGCCTACCAGCCATTCTGGGCTCCTAGCCACATGGTGGGTGCAGCACTGCTGCTGGCTGCTGAGGTGTCCCCACTGGGCTCCACCTGAGGCTGAACACTGCTTCCATCTGGCTCTGGCCCATTCTCACTGAAGAAAGGATGCTAGCTGCAGGGTAGGCCACAGAAGCCTAAGCCTGCTCCCTGCCCAGCTCTGCCATCCTCCCCTCCACTCATCTAATCCAACCCAAGAAAGCCCACCTGCCAGGCTGCGTGCTGGAAGGTGGGGTAGGTGCCAGGTCAGTGAAGACATGCTCTGTGAGGGGCCCTGGGCAAACTGCAGCTGCCTCTGGCTCACTTGGACCAGGGTCTGGCACCTCTGTGGCTTCTGTGGCTTCTTCTGTGGATTGGGATGGGTTGACTTTCCCACTAGCCGTAGCAGCCACCTCCCCTGTGGAAAGACAAGTAAGTTTGGCTGGATAGAAATAGAGGAACGAGGAGATAAGGAGAAAACCATCTAAGACTCACCCTGCCCCTTGTCCAGCACTGGGGTGTCTCCTCGGGAGGAACAGTTGCTACGTGGCACATTGCAGCGAGTAGCACACCCTACCAGGGTGATGCCAGCCAGTACACCATCAGTGCCCGAATCTTCGGGATTCATATCGCTGTCTAGGAACATCTCCCCTGGGGGATAGTCACTGTCGCTGGCCGCTGGGGGGGAGGAGGGAGATTCCCAGCCCATCAGCCCAACACCACAAAGTCACCCCAAAGCTCCAGCTCAGTGGAATTAGGAGGAGATGGGAGATGGGAGATGCCTATTAGGCTGGCTCTACTCTTAGCCAGCCCAGTCTCCACACACAGCAACCCATGGCCCTCTGGTGACATCTATCCTGAGGCCTAGCCTTAAGCACATAGGTTGAAAATTGAGTAGTAAGGCTCTGCTCCTCAGTGCATCTGTCATATGATAGACCTGGAAGAACTCTATGGAGTAGAGTCACCTGGGCAAACAGCTGAAGTTTCAAACCAGACTTGCAGGACACTCAGCACCATGCTGGGGCTAGGCCCAGGAGGTCATGGGGCTGCTGCTGAGGGTGAATCCTGTACCTAAAGTAAGCTTTCTCTGGGACATGTGGCCCAGGGTCTAACTTGACCTAATGTCTACTCAATACTCAGCAGGCCTCTTATCCCTATTTATACAATATCCCAGTCACATCTGGGTAAAAATGAAGAGCCACCCGCCAAGTACCAGCTTTGCAGTGTCCACAAGTAGACAGTGCCTGCTGTATGGTAGTGGGAGCCCCAGCTCACCAGGGATGCTGGAGATACACAGGACGTGGGCATTGCAGACTGTGAACTGGTCCACAACGGTGCCTGGTTGGTTGGCATCGATGATCACCACCTTGCTGGTGGTCAGGGTGCTGGTGAGGATCCATACCCGGCTGGAGGTAGCATCTGTCTCAGGGACCTCCTTTGCCTATTTTTTTTTTTTTTTTTGTGGGGAGTAGGGGGGAAGAGTTAAGGGTGATGCCTTAACTTGGTGTCAACATGAGTCAGGGAGTCTCTAGGACCACTAGGATCTAGCCTTGAATACAGCATCAGTGGACACAGCCTACCCTGGACAAGAACTCAAACCAAGATCTTGATGGTTGACTTCCAGGAGGAAGCTTTGAGCTCAGAGAGGCTACTCCCAAGGCCCCTAAGTCAAGCTGGGATTATGTTCTGGGCTCCACTGAAAAGCACTGGGCTTCTCCTGTGTGCAGGCCCTCCTGTTGCCCACTTCTCTGCATGAGGCAAACTGTGCCTGTCTTTTCCAAGGCGGACCTCTGTTGACCAAAGGCAGTGAGTGGTCTTACAGCTTCATGGACTGGGAAGTAGTTTGGGCTACAGAGGAGCAGCAATGGTGTCCTGGATTGCTGATAGCACTTGCCTCTTCTCCCAGACTCATGGAGGAAAAGGGAAGCACAGTTACTAAGGCCTGTCACTTCCAGTTAGGACTTGTAGGGAACTACCTAGAGACTCTGAGTGGGGTTAAGACAGGACCACACATTCTTTTTTTAAGATAGGGTCTCCCTGTAGCCCCATCTGTCTTGGAACTCACTATGTAGACCAAGCTGGCCTTCATCTCACAGAGATCTGCCTGCCTCTGCCTCCCAAGTGCTAGGATTAAAGGTGTGCCCAGCAGGACCACATTCCTGACCAACATACTGACCTTCTTCCTCTCAGGTGATGTGTGGTTGCTCTTCGGCTCAACTTCTATTTCCCGGTCACAGGTCAGAGGGTCTCGTCCTGGCACAGGCTTAACTCCACTACCAGGATCCTCCTCATTCGGTCTCCATCCACTCAGATTGACACCAGCAGCACACCAGAGCTGCAAGGACAGGGTTGTAGGGTCTAGGTGCACTGGCCCTCTGCTGGACTCTCAAGGGCTACAGCAATGGGACAACCTCCCTCCCCCATCTGCCCTGGAGGCTTCTGAGCAGGGTCCTGAGTGCTTACCTTCATGGTGGGGTCCTTTTCCACCAGAGGTCGGCAGTACACAGGGACAGGCACATTCTTCATCCGGGTGTCTTCCTGGCCTCCATTAGGGCTCAGCTGCAACAGAGCAGGAGGTAATGTGGTATCAGGTCAGGATAGACATTCACCCTTCAGAAGCCTGAGTCAGTTGTCTTTTAGCTTCTGGTATACAGTGCATTGGGCCTGGCTCTCCAGGCCCTCACAGCTACAGATTCATTTGGGCCAGACTGGGCATGGATGCCTTCCTGACCTCTTACCTGCATTATGACTCCTGCTCTGCACCTCTACTGTGCTGGGCCATCCTGCTGCCCCTCTCCCACCACACCCTACCCATACCTGGACACTGTCCTCTTCTCCAAGTACCTGCTTGTATTTGGCAGGCAAGCTCCACCCACAGGCCTGCAGCCTCCCATCATCATTGCGCACATGCTCTCGCACTTGGCGATATTGTTCACGCTTCTGCTCCCGCCGGGCAGAAGAGGTGCAGTCACTGGGTAAGAGGAACGAATGACAGGTTACATCTGTTCAAGGTGAGCAGCCTGTGTGAGGCTGGAGTGCCTACAGCCCATAGGCCTGCCTAGGAGAGTGTGCCATGCCTCAGAGCCCACCTGATCTGCCCTTGCCTTTTCTGGTCTATTGGGTACTCATCTGACAGAGGGTCACTTTCCCCCAAATGGTGTGTGATCGTGGGCTTAGGTCATTCCCAGCTCCTGCCCCTATCCCGGGGCCTGCATTGTTGCTGGGCATTGGAGCTTGGCTGGCAGCAGTTGCAATGCTGCCTAGGTAAGATTACCAGAGGTTTCTAACAAAGCTGGCCTGAAATGGGTCCTTGTGGCAGATGGTCAACCAAATATCTGGAGCAGTGCACAGAGTCCAAGGCCACACAGAATTAAGGATATTGTGGAGCCTAGCACAGCCCTGAGAAACTAAGAGAATGATCCCCAAGGAGTGCATCCTCTGCCAAGGGGAATCCAGAACCTTAGCACTGGCTCACCACTTGTTTTTGCTGGGGCCAGTGTACACAGGGAGGCTGTCATTCTGGATGCCTTGCCCAGTGCCCATTCCACAGTGCAGCAAGTTAAGAGTCTGTCCTCCAACTTTAGGGCCAGGAATGGAGTGGCCCTAGGATACCTGGCCCCTCCCCCTAGTAGGTCAGAGGAGAAAGAGGCTGGGGACACCCACTCATCAGGGAAGAATTCCAGGGGTCGGCTGCCGGCTGAGATCTGGTACATGGCGTGGCTGCGGCGTTGGCTGAAGCCGGTGGCGGTAGGTGACTTGTAGTGGATGTTTACCGATGGGTAGGAGCGCTTGGCAGGAGGGGGGCTAGAGGAGGAGCTGAAGAGACGGCTGAAGCTGCCATAGAGACATAGGGAGGTATGCCATGAGTGGAGCAGCAGTGGGCTGAGGGGAGCCACTTCCTCCCCAGAGTGCCACACTTACAATTGCCAGATAGTGGATTTCTTCTTTTCCTGGACAGACGGGTGCTCCCGGGATGCTCTGCAGGGGAGGGTGCAAGAGGGAATAAATGGCCCTTGGGGCCCTTTCCTGAGAACCCAAAGACCCACCCAACCTTCTAGGGGAGGAAGGTGTGGTAGAGAGTAGCTAACCTGCTGGCCTAAGATAACCCCACAACCCTGGTTCAGGAAGCATAACTCCAACCAGAGCCCCAAACTGGCTTTGAGATCCTGAAGAAAACAGCAGAAGGGCCCACCTGATCATCTCAGTCCACCGCACAGCCTCCTGCAGCTCCATCAGCCGTTCCTTGTACTGGTTGCGCTCCATGAGAACTCGAGCCATCTCTACTCTAGTGAAGCGGCGGCGCTGGGCCATGGGGATTTTGTCCTGTAGAGGGACGGGGTACATGTTTCCGTTGATTAGAGCCAGCAGGACAGTCTAGCATACCTGGCTTCCTTCTGAGGTGTCTGTCACCCAAGTGGGGGTTGTAGTAGGAAGATCTAAATGGGAGAAGTGATGATGGGAATGGCAAAGGAGAAGAGCAGGGAAGCCAGAATGGGGTCTGCCATATTCCTCCCCGAAACTGTGCTTTGAGCCTGAGCAGGATGGGCTTCAGAGAGTGGAGGAGGTGCATGAAGGGCAGGTTCTCCTTACATAGAACTTTGCCAGTGTACAAAGGAGCTAAGACATAGGTTGGCCAATCCATCTTACTCGAGGGGCCAAAATTCACCTTTGTAGTCTTTCCTAGATTATCATGAGGTGAGGGCTCCACAGCATGGGGAGAAAACCTCAATACATCCCCACATGACTGAGATGAGGGGTGAGGTAGGAGGGCTGCTGTGTTATCAAGGGCCTATCCTGTTTTGCTAAGGGAGGGCAAGTTATGCTGGTCCAGGCCTGATCTTGGGGAGTGGGAGGACATGCACTCTGGACTGGGCTACCCCTGCCTATGCTGCAGAGGGCTTTCTTCAGAACATGTCTGCTCCCAGCCTGAGAGGGTACAAGTGGCTGGTACTGCTGCTGTGGCCTCATTAAATGGCAGGAAAACCTACTAAGACTTCAGAAGGCATCACTGAGAATAGGGTAGAAAGGTGACCCTGCCTTAAGTCTAGGGTAGATCTGCTAAGGGATGATTCTGACAGCAAGTCATTGTCATGCACTGGGTTCAGAGGTCACAAGGGAAGGGTAAGGAAGGTGCAGGGCCCAGAAAAATTAGTAAATCCTGGGGAGCTCGCCATGCCCAGCCCACCCATGCCCACAGGTTAATAGTGGATATACCAATTCTGTACAGAGATAGCTGCTTACATCCTCCACCTCTTCTCTGGGCTCACGGCGGGCGATGACCGCCTCGGACTTGACTCTGCAAGATGTGGGAGGAAGCAGGCAGGGTAAGGGTCCTGCCAAACATGCCCCACACATGTGCTCCAAAGCCCAGACATCTGGCTGATCTAACCAAAGAGGAGATGAGGTGAGGTCTGAGACCAAGAGGGGTGAAGAGTGGGATCCTATTTGGAAGACAAGTTCTGAGCAGCTGGTTCCCACAGGCCCTCCCGACAATGCCTCTCCCATCTCAGAGGGGCTAGGATTAAGTTACAGGATGCCCAAAGACCATGTGATCTTGACCTTGGCTGATCAGAAGGCCATGGAGCAAAGGGTATGGGTTGCTGGAGTAGTCAGAGGTGCCTACTCAACCTCACATTCCTGAAGAACTGGGAAGATCCGTAGCTGAAGATAGCACTATTCCCATTAGGGCATATGCAGCAGGACCCTGAGCCTGGTCAGGGCACAGAGGGCTTGGGAGGGAAGAAGAGTGGGCAGACAATGGGCCATACCCAATGACTGGACCTGGAGCAGTGACCACACAAAGCTATTAGGGGAAGCAGGCAACTCTTGGATGTCACAGGTAGAGGCTAGATTGAGGACATACAGAGAAACCCAATATGAAGTCCAAGTTGTTGTTGTTTTTGTCTTTTTGATACAGGATCTCCCTGTAGCCACAACTAGCCTGGATTCAATATAGAGACCAGGTTGGCCTCGAACTCAAAGAGATCTGCCTGCCTCTGCCTCCTAAGTGCTGGGATTAAAGGCGTGTGCCACTACGCCTAGCTCCCCAAGTTTCTTGTGTTCGCACCTTTTTAGCTCTTCTTCCAGCTCTTTGATTCTGTTCTCCAGCTTCACTTTGGCTTGCCTGGCAGCTTCTAGCTCCCCCTTTAGCACCTCCTGCTCTCCAGAAAGTTGGTCAACCTTGGCAATGAGATCATTCTTCACCACATTCAAAGCATTTCTTTAAAAGACAGAAAGATGGGGGCATTACAAGGGCCCAGGCATATACTTTTGTCACAGAGCTTTCTGGTTTTTTTTGAGACAGAGCCTTGTTATAGAGCCCAAACTAGCCTCAAACAATCCTCCTGCCTCTGCCTTGTATCAGGAGTTCAGGACTGTGCCACCATTCCTGGCTGTGAAAGGGACTTTTAAAAGGAAGTTTTATTTATTTTTATTTTATGTGTATGTATGAAAGTGTACCATGTGCATGCAATGCCCATGGAGGCCAGAAGAAGGCATTGGATCTTTGGCACTAAAGTTATGGACAGCTGGGAGCTGCCATGAGGGTGCTAGGAAACAAACACCAGTGCTCTTAACTGCTGAACCATCTATCCAGCCCCTGTGATAGGGACTTTTAAGAGGTGTACCAACTTTCCCATCTTAGCAGGCACATCCTGGTCTAGAATCAAAACACCTGTCTGACTTGGTCATTGAATGTGGAGGTCATCCTGGCAATGGGCTTCTTACAATAAGCTTTCTGAAGGAATCACTCAGGAGTCCTGTGGGCTGCTCCCTCTACAGGTCCCAGTGGGCATCTAGCCCAAGGGTCTCTGGCATGGGTCATATGGAAGACTCTTACTTTGTCTCTAGAAGCTGTGAGTTCTCCAGCAGCAGGTTTCCCACTTCTTTGCCCATTCCTGAAATGAAAGGTGGGGAGGTTTTCTTTGAGTCCCTCCAGATGAACTCTGATACTGCTGCACCTGCATCTGCCCCAGAGTAAAGGAACAGGTGCCTTGTGGGTTGGTAGGAAGGGATGAGGGCCTGGTAATCCCACCTATAGGAAGGTTGGGTTGCAAAGGGAGGTTCAGTTAGACCTGGGGAGGTCCCTGGTCTCCTCTAAAGCCAACAGAAGGCCCCGCTCTTCCTTGGGCTCACATCCAGGAATATTCCTCATGGCTAGCCCCCAGCAGAAAGCCAAACTTCAAGCAGGGTCTGGTCCTTCCTCCCTTTTTGGCCTCTTCTTGGCCAAGAAGAGTGTAGCCACATCACCCCTTGTCCAAAGTTCTGCCCTGACCCCGGCTCTATGGTTTCCCCATGATGAACCAAGGCTTTTCAGCACCACCCACAGGTGAATAAATGTTGGCACTGTGGTGATAGGGGATAGAGATAACAGTAAAGCACTCAGAGAACACCTTTGGCCCAGGAGATGTGATGGCCTATTGCAGGTGCAGCCTACCATGAGGCTATGAGTGGGCCTGGTAGGACTTGGTCCTTACAGTAGTCAGGAAGAGTGGAGAGGGAGTAGAAGTGAGGACAGGCCTTTCTGTGAGGAGCTGACCCAGTTCTTCTGCCACCACATCCTACAGTAGATTCTCACATACTGAGTTTCTCTGCATTTAGGTCCCATAAGCCCCAAAGTACCAAATTTGGTCCCCAGATTAGTCTTCTCTCATTTTTGTAGTCTGAAACAGCAAAGGCATAGTGAGGTGCTGGTCACAGGTCAGCCTTCTGTCCATTCTGACCTCCTGTGCTTCAAACAAAGGCCTATCTTTCCCTGACAGGCTAAGAAGGAGCAGGGTCTGTTCTGAGCCTGTGGGGGCTCAGAGGCTGACAATGGTTTGTCTAGCTCAGAGGGAGGGGCCACCTCCCACCCCAGCTGAGACAGAATGGAGACAGCCTAGGCCTGAGGTAGCTGGAAAGCCTGTAGCCCCACTTATTTTGCCATCAGCCCACCATGAAGAACAAAGCAAACGGCTCATGAAGCATGAGATGTTGGATAGAGAAAAGAAGCCAGAAAGAGGGAAAACACACACTGAAGCAGGGCCTTAGCCTTACCAAAAAAATCATCGCGTACTGCGGGAACATCCCAGTCCCATAGGAGACGGGCAACAGGGCGGGAGGAGGGAGAAAAAAGAAGCGCGTTAAGCCAGTGTAGACAGCAAGGTTGAAGGTGTTTAGGGCCACTTCTGGCTGGGTTAGGGTTGGCAGTAGAGGGGTCAGGAGGCAGGATGGTCAGGGACTCCTGTGAAAGTGTATCTGTGGGCTGCATAGCAGATGGCTAGGCCAGAGTCACTGGTAGGGAATGAGTAACCTCTCATGTCCAAATGTGGGGCTGGAGGAGGACAGGTCAGAGGAAATCAAACAATGAGAAGCTGTGCTCAGGGGATTGGCTGCCACCGAACACACTAAGGGGCTACACATAGAGGAGTAGATGGGCCTCAGAGCTTCCTGTGCACAGCAAGACAGCTCAGCCTGGCTACCTGGTTGGTGGCTATACTAGACAGGGGCCTCATGGGATCCTTGACTTCTGGGGTGCATCCAATAAGGTGGATCAACTGTCTTATGTTCCTAGTGGCTCTGTAGAACCTCCAGAAATGGTCACTAGGCCTTCCCAGACTTGAAGAAGGGAGTTAGATATTAAGGGCCTGTCAGTGGGCAGTAGACCCAACTTTTGGGCAATAGCAGGCTGGGAGCAAAGCACAGGTCTGTAGGGACTGAGTAGCCTGGAGCAGCCAGACAGAAATCAGGGGTCAGTATGCACAGCCCTTGGTAATGGTCGGTGGCAGGGGAGAGTCCCACGTGTATGCCCCCCTGCTCCAGCTGCTCTCCACAGTGGGAAGAGGGGACCACACGGAGACAGACGGGAGAGATACACACCTGAGAACTCCCCTGGGTCGCATCCAGCGAAGCAGAGAGACGGGGAAAGAAGCAACAAAGGTCAATTGGTGACTGGAACCAACAAATAAATTCTTATTAAAGAAAAAGCAACAATGATTCAGCCATTCCCATATTGATGGACATGAAACAAAACACTTCAGCAGGTCCAGGGAGGCACATCCATGAGGACAGAAACCCTAAAGGGAGAGGCCAGAATGACATCCCTCCCTCTCCAAGGGGCCCAGAGTACCCAATTCTTGTTCAGCTCTTTCAGGAATCTGCAGTCTACACACTGATAGGCCAGCCCTCTAAAGACCTCAATGATTAACATCTATAACGAAAAAGGTGTGTGTGTGTGTGTGTGTGTGTTGGGGAGCAATGAATACCAAGGAGGTCCTCTCCAAGAAGGCTCCCCAGAATGAACAAGCTGCGCTGGTAGTGCACTGTGCTGGTAGATTTGTACCTGGAGCTGGACCCGGTTCTCCTGGTCAACCCAGTACTTACAGGAGATGGGGGAAGAGGATATGATCTCAAGTGAGGGCCAAGAAAAGGCCAAGAAGGGAGAAAGGACCCTACTGTGAAGAGGAGAAAATGAATAAAAAAGCAGTGTGGGACTGGAGAGCATGGGATGGTATGAGCAGACCTCACTTGGGTAAATGCCTCTCCAGTGCAGATTGTTGGAAAAAATGGAACTTGGGCAGAAAAACTTTTTTCACTAATAAGTTTCAAGAACTAATTATGCTCTACTTGTATACTTCCCAATGAAGAAAAGCAGCATGAAAACCCACTTGATTTGTATAACAAAATACCATTGTTATAGAAATTCAAATAATAAAGCAGTATACCAGCAGTGGTACCCCCTTGCTAATCCCTACTTCCTGTGGCATCTGGTATCTTCCTCCTCACACTTTTCTATATGAATATCTCACACTACCCATCCTCCTTGGCAGGCAATGTGGTATCAGGGGACTCCAAGCACCTCTAGTGCTTTGCACCACTGCTGTTCACCACCCATTCTTGTCGCACACAGGGCACTCACCATTCTATGTGAGCATCCAGGACACATAGATGTAGATCTGCCAGAGACCCTATGGTCCATCCCTATCCAGCTACCTACTCCATGGGTGCTGCCTCACACCTCTGATAAGAGTCCTGTACCACCTATCACTAGCCCAGTGGAACAGTGCCAGCTCCCTGCTTGCTCTACATCAGTCTCTGCTATCTTCTCTCCTGTCAATCTTTCAGGGAAAAGGAATTGCATTTTCTCATTATTCTAAGTTCCGGAGCATTTTTTTTTTTTTTTTTTTTTTTTTTTTTTTTTTTCCCAAGACAGAACCTCCCTGTAGCCCCAGTTGGCCTGGTCTGGAACTCACTATATAGACCAGGACAGCCTTGATCTTACAGAGATATGCCTGCCTATGCCTCCAGAATGCTGGGATTAAAGGTGTGAGCTATCATGCCCAGCTGAGTGTTTTTTTGCACAGGTTTAAGGTATCATCTGTGAATTTCTATTTTATGTTCTACTCTGTTGTACTTGATTTACTTGAATGGTAAAGATCCCACACATATACACACTTTCTTGTTCTTTCTTTTTTGTTCTGGGTAGTAGGAATCAAATCCAGTGCTCTACCACTGAGTTGCAGCCCGTTCACACACATACATCTAGTTCTTACAGTCACACCTGGGAAATTTTCTTTGATGGTTCTGAAATTTACTTCTGTAAATGGTATGGTCTGAGGCACACTCATACCATAAAAGGGTATGGGGTCAAGTTAATTTTCATTCAAACATCTGTTTCTAGACATCCAGGGCTGGTCACTACATGAGGGAAGTCTTCTAGAGAAGGAATGAAACTGACTCCCAAACAGCAGAATGGCAAGGGTCAGGTCTGCTTGTCAGAATTTAGATTCCCCAAAGTGATGCAAAGGAGTTCACTTGACTTCTCTGAGCCTCAATTTTCTCACCTGTACATGGGAAGCATAATCCGCTTAGGGTGTATGGTGTGAAATTTACAGCAAACAGCATAAGCAGAGGCTGGCATGGCACTTACTACCCTTCAAACATCCATTCTGCAATGCACATTTTCCTCATCTTAGCATTTTTTAAGTTGTGCGAATGTGTGTATGTGGTGCGGGTGGTGTCTTAAACAATCACGTTATGTTATAGTTTAGCATTCACTATGTAGAACAGGCTGGCCTCGATCTCACAGAGATCTGCCTGTTCTTTCTTTTTTGTTCTGGGTAGTAGGAATCAAATCCAGTGCTCTACCACTGAGTTGCAGCCCGTTCACACACATACATCTAGTTCTTACAGTCACACCTGGGAAATTTTCTTTGATGGTTCTGAAATTTACTTCTGTAAATGGTATGGTCTGAGGCACACTCATACCATAAAAGGGTATGGGGTCAAGTTAATTTTCATTCAAACATCTGTTTCTAGACATCCAGGGCTGGTCACTACATGAGGGAAGTCTTCTAGAGAAGGAATGAAACTGACTCCCAAACAGCAGAATGGCAAGGGTCAGGTCTGCTTGTCAGAATTTAGATTCCCCAAAGTGATGCAAAGGAGTTCACTTGACTTCTCTGAGCCTCAATTTTCTCACCTGTACATGGGAAGCATAATCCGCTTAGGGTGTATGGTGTGAAATTTACAGCAAACAGCATAAGCAGAGGCTGGCATGGCACTTACTACCCTTCAAACATCCATTCTGCAATGCACATTTTCCTCATCTTAGCATTTTTTAAGTTGTGCGAATGTGTGTATGTGGTGCGGGTGGTGTCTTAAACAATCACGTTATGTTATAGTTTAGCATTCACTATGTAGAACAGGCTGGCCTCGATCTCACAGAGATCTGCCTGCCTCTGCCTCCCAAGTGCTGGAACTAAAGGCATGTGCCACCATGCCCAGTTGCAGAGTTTCTTAAAACAGTGTATGCTTCTGGAGTCTTATTTGATGGATACAGTGTACAGGCCAGGGCAGAATCCTGTACTTCCTTCACTGTTGAGATACACAAAGCTGAAAGCCAAGCATCCAGAGGAGAGGCTCACCACTGCTATCCCAGCTGATGAACTGAAGAATCATTTACCTAGTTGCTTAGACAGAGCATATGTATTTGTAAGAATACAGCATCTCTCCCTCTCTCCCCTGAGTAAGATGCTCACAGAGCTGAGATGGGTCTCTGTAGTCACACAAGTTGTTTAGGTGTGCTGCTCACTGTATCGTGCTCTCTTCACACGCTATCTCCAAAAACACACACAAGTGGCTGTTGCCATAGGCTGGGAGGGCTCTGAGGTGGGAGTCTAGGCAGAGGAGACAGATCCCACCTCATTCCTCCAGAACTTGGTTACCACAGCAGGCCCATTTCTGCATTGTACCCACAGATTATAAGTAGTGAGTACTGCCTGAGCTTCTTAGGGTCCACTGACTTTCACATCCCCATGATGAAAGGTTCTGGAATGCTTAACCACACCAAGAATAGGTCTCATTGCAACCTGAGTTCAGGGTGGCATTATCCTGCAGCTCTGGTATAGCAGAGCTGCAGATGATAGGGAAAAGCACATCTTTGTTGTGGTAGGAAAAGAAGATTCTGATGATACCCAATTCGCCAGAACAAAGACACTCCATCTTTCTATGGAGACTTCTATGAAGACGTGCTACCAGTTGCCCTGAGATATGATGGGCAGCTTCTACACCTGAAGCCCTGGTCTGTCTGATGGAAGTACTGGATTCCAACTAAGTTTCACTAATGTACTACTTCTAGTCCTCTGCTTACCACTCAATATTTGTGAAGATTCTTCATGGAAGTGACATTTGAGGAAAGTAGTTACACTGAGAAAGCACGATAACAGCCAGGGCTATGTAGGTAGCTGCCGCAGGAGACAGCTCAGCAGCTAGGGCTACACCACAGAAAGACTATATAGCACCACTGTCTGGTAAATAAACTGCTGGAGTCTGGTCATCTTGCAGAGCTACTGAAGGTTAAGTGCTGAGAAGCATACTTTCCAACAGCCAAGAGTGAAAGTGCCCAAGCAATTTTCTCCTAGATAAGCTATTTTATATTAGAGGGAAGCTTATTAAGATGCAGGATGTTCCAAGGCAACTCAATACTTGAGGAAATCCCTAAAACTCAACCAGATACACTAGGCCCCTTCATCCTCCAGCATATATAAGTCCAGAAAGACTGCTGAGAGATCAGACCAGCTGCCTAGAAAGGGCAGGTAATCCAAGTTGTCTAGAAGACTGTCAATCAAGCTGAGCAGACTCAACTAGGAGAGGCTCACATCAGTCAAGACACCTGGAAGAAGCAGAGACCAGCAGAGCTGCTTGGAAGAGACTTTCTCCAACCTGCTGCACTGCCTGCAAGTTCTGTAGTATGCTCCAGGCTTCCAGCTAAGGTGCTAAGGTACGATTTTAGTAATGCCGATGTCTTTGAGTCATTTCTGCTTCTGTAACCTTTCACCTATAATCCTATAAGTAACCCCAATAAACTCATTGGTTTTTGAAACCAGTTGGATTTTGATGGGCTTTTTATTTTGGCCTGTCATTGCTTCCCTACCTAGGGTTCATAGATGTTCATGTCTTCCCAGGAATAGTGTCAGACAATATCAAGTGCATCAGCAGGTGACAATGAATTCCAGTCATCTACACAACAGGAAACCACTCAGTCACAGGGATAGAGCCAGAAGACACAATGAAAGAAGCCGCACAGTCGATTTACTGATAGCAAATATCCACAAAAGGCAAGTCTATAGAGGGATGGGCCTGAGGAGACTAGGGGACTGCTTACTGGGGACAATGTCCTCTTGAAGGCAATAATGTTTTTAAATTATTTGGTAATGGTCACATAATTCTACATGCTGAAAGTCACTTACACTTTCAATGGGTGAACAACTCAATAAAGCTATTAAAATCTATCAGGGCTGCTGTTCTGGGGAAAACTGGGTCTGAGCCTCAGCAATGTCTTTCACCTGTTAACTAGGGACATTGAGTAGCACATAGCCACCTGGAGGTGCAGGGAGCTCAAAAAGTAACTGTACATAAAATGACAGCTCAGATCTCACAGTGACTAAATTGAGGAATCAAATCCTGTCACACATCACAGTACCTATAGCTATGGGCAGATTCCTCATCAGTCCTTTCCCTATGTTCCATCTCTCATCCCTCACATTCTGACATCTAATTGTACCTCCAAATTCCCCATGCTCAGGCAGCACATCCAGTCAGAGCAAGATGCTCTCCACATCAGAGTTCCTTAGGTGAAGACTTGTATCTTTCTAGAAAATTCTCAAAAACTGAAAAAAAGAAGCCACTATCAGCTATTGTGGGGAACTCTGGTACACATAAGACTGGAGGACCCGAAATTTGCCTGTTTGCAGCCATAGGACCAGCTGCACAAGCTCACACCTGGCTACCACAGGCAACTCACAAACCAACTCCTGTGTTCCCATGTGTCTGAACTTGTCAACCCTTCAACTTGGTGAGGGTGTTGACCCCTTGAGTGTGAAGTGGCTGCCCTGGCTAGAGCTGCTGTTCCCTGTGAAGCAATGAGAGGAAACAGCAGAGTTCTGTGGCAACCTGCTTCAAACTGGTTAAGGAGGCCTGGGGGGAGACACCTGTCCCTTCGCCCAGGAAGCAGGAATGGGTGTCTCCGGTAGGTGCTGGTATTGGCTGGCCAAAACCCAGAGCTCTACTCCCAGTACTTCACTGTCCATAAGGGACACCCAGGGGGCAGCAAATTGTCCACAGGAGGAGGGTGCCAGGAGCTCAGCTCCATGCTGCCATCCTTCTCATTCTCCTCTCAGAGCAAAAGCCCTGGCATCCAGTCACACTTCTGAAACACCTCAAGAAAGCAGACTACTGGGAGGAGGTTTGACGTAGAACAGGAAGTACCAAGGGCATAGGGCTTTCCTGGGGTGATAATACACTCTGAACTTAGTGCTGCCAGCCATATGACACCAAGAGTAGATTAAAAATTATGAACTGACCGGACGTGATAGCACATGCCTTTTTCAGTCTCAGCACTTGGGAGACAGAGGCAGACAGATCTCTGTGAGTTCAAGACCAGCCTGATCTAGAGTGAGTTCCAGGCCAGCTGGGGCTACAAGGAGACCCTGTCTCAAAAAGACAAAAAAAAAAAAAAAAAAAAAAAAAAAAAAAAAAAAATCATGAACTGTAGCCTTTGGGGAACAATTTTACAGAATGAGGATTTACCTTAATCAGATTATAAAATCAAAGTTCCTAGCCCAAAGAGGCATAGAACTTTCTCTTCATTGAGAACCTGAGTGTCAGAGTCATGGGTGGCAGCTTATGTTTACCTAGGAGGTCAGCTCCCTCGTCCACATCCCCAATGACCTCAGACCCTGCTGTAGACAGCTCGTGGTACAGGGAATCGGTGTTGATGCCAAAAGCTTTGTTCACAATTCCTTGAGTCGGGCTGTTGGGACATACACAGAAAAGGTAGTTAGGGGCAGCATTTACTGCTGCAGCTCCTGGTAGTGCTCCCTCTGCACTCCAAGCTTGTATTTAAGGTTTGCATCTGAATGTCTCCAAAGGCCCAGGTGCTAAAGGCTTGGCCCCTTGCCTGTGATGCAAACTTAGCAAGTGAGGCTTAATGGGAAGAAGTCACAGAGGGTATTAACTTAAATAATATGACCCTAGCCCTTCCATTTCTGGGATGCCATGAAGGACCCTCTGCCACTTGCTTCCCCCATGATGTACTGTGTTGCCATAGGCCCAAAAGCTAAAGGGATGAAGACTCAAGTCCTGAAACCTTTGAAACTAGGAATCAAAATAAACCTTTCCTATTTCTAAATAAATAATTTCAAAATAGGAAACTGACTGATACAGCTGTTCAAGAACAACCCTGTACTGAGGCACAGGCATGTTTCGGATATGACACCCCTACCAAAGGCATCAATTCATGAATACTGAACCCCTGACCTAGGGTCTGGCTAAGTGAGTACCTGCTTCCTGTGCGGTCCATTCGAGTCTCTGGACACACGTCCAGCTCTGGGGTGGAGTCGATAATGTCCTGAACATCAGACCACTCGTCACTGCTGCCCATGCCTAGTACAGAGCACAGGAAACTTGGAGTCAGGGGACAGCCTGATAACTTAAGCCTTACTCGCTCAGGCCCTCTGGACTTGTACCTATTGATCCCATATTAGGTCTCACTAGATATGACTGTCAAAAAAGGCAGTCCCCATTGGATCCTGTGTCTCAGTGAACCATCACCTGGGCCTTCCTTGTGATCAATTACACAGGAACAGGCCAATATCCTCTTTGTCTTCTCTTTAGGTATGTATGGCTGAGGGGAAGACTATTCCCTCCCTGTGTGACAGCATTTGAAGACTGGGTCTTTTAATTCTGCTTTTGTTTGAGACAGGGTCTCATATACCCTACACTGGCCTTGAACTCCTGATCCTCTTGCTTCCATCTCCCAACTGCTAGGATTATATGTATGTGCTACCATGTCAAAATAAGGTCAGTGGGGTGGCTCACCCCACTGAATTGGGGTCTTTATTCGATTAGGACACAGACACACAGGTGGACATGTAAAGAAACAGGGAGGTACTCCTCTGTAAGCCTGGGAGGAAGACCTCACCTCAGGAGAGAGTAACCCTTCTTGTACATTGGTCCATGTTTTTTTTTTTTGGTTTTTTGCCTCTAGGACAGTTCTCTAAACTGTCCACATGAGATACTTGTTATGGAAGCCTGAGCTAACTAGCGTATTTGTCCAAAGTAAAACCCAAAGAGGAAGAGATACTTCCCTGGTATGGTCTACCCATACTGGTGGTGGTAGACAGCAGGTATGTGACCCTCTCCAGGGATGGGATGGGTTGGTGGATCACTGTGCAGAGTGCATACCAATGCTGACGTTCCGCATCTCTTGGGTGACCTGGACCTCCATGTTGCGGCTATTACGCTTCTCTTGGGCCCGCTTGTTGTTTTTTGTGCCACCACCATAGTCCCCCAGGGGCTGCAGGCTCTCGTTGAGTGGAGTGACGGCTGCTGAGGGCACGGAAGATGTGGGTGTATTGGACTTGGTACCTGTGGTGCTGGGTGTGGCAGCTGCCGAGGACTGGCCTGACTCAGACATCTCATCGTTTGGACACTAGAGCCAAACACAGGAAGGAGGAAACATGTCACCACAGGCCATGGTGCTAGTTACAGGGGTTGAGGCCCCATGGTTCTGTTTCTCTGCCATGTGGCTACCATCAAATACTGTGTCTACCTGCAGGGACAGGAATCCTTCCTTGGCCTAGTTACTCCTGAGTGATGATGACACTAACCTGCAGCTGCCTCTGGCTTTCCAGAAGCAACCATCACCTCATTGAATGGGACTTTCAGGTCATACCTTCCATAGGACACTCCAAAGTAATCATGACTGATGGTGTGCTATACAGAGGACATAGTGGATATGATGGATAACCTGTGCAGTTGGAGGCTGGTCAGAAACCAGTGGCAACCTAGCGTGGGACAAAGGACTCTACCTGGGAACAAGAAAGTTGGCACATGGCATGGAGTGACCAGGCTGTACCATGCATCGGGCTACTTTACCATTCCTCCCTGACACTAACTCTAGTGCATGCATGCTTGACCCTGGCTTAGTTTTAGAAGCAGGGAGGAGCTACAGGGCTTTCCCAACTCTGTGGCTGGGATCTCCATTAAGCAGATACTAAGTACTTCTTTCTCACCTCACCTGACTCGAATCTTGTGAGGGAAGAAAGAATTCAAAAGAGTATGGAACAGGAAAAAAAAAAAACCATTCTTTTCCTGTTGTCTTTCCTGATAAAAATGTTGGGCAATCTCAATAAAAATAGCCCCCAAACATTCTTCTATTAAGTAATATTGGCAAATGTACATGCTACATGACCCTGAACAGATGCTCTAGTCATTCCAGGCACCCTAAGGAGGAGCTGGACTTTGGATCCTGTGGTTTCCTTCCCTCACAGTCCAGGAGGGAATGGTTTGGAAAGATCAAAGAGGCTGATTAGACATCTCACACAGGCACTGCACTAGGTTCTAGGGTGCTCCTGAAAGAAGTCATGCATTCAGAGGAGTGTTTTGCTGGTGAGGATATTTGCCAGGGCGAAGTGGAGAGACATGTGTGTGGTTCTGTGTAGAGCTGGGCAAATACAAAGATGTGAACTGAGAATTGCACCTCTGGGTCCCAGAGGTCAGAGCTGGTTCTATGGGTACCTTTACCCAACTCACTGGGTTACTGCCAGGCCTCAGCATGAGCCTTTTGGTACTGGACACTGCTACGTCTTCAGAGGACAGGGTTTTGATTTCATCTACCAGGTTCCAGAATTTTTACAAGTAATCTCAAAATTCCTTATCTTCTCAACTAGGGGCAACTGCTCCCCAGAGAATGCTTGGCAAAGGGGGAGAGTTTTGTTGTCAGAACTACAGAGGGTGCTCTTTTGGAATTGAGTGAGGGAAGGTCAAGGATGCTGCTCTGTACTCTATAGTACCCAGGATGGCCCACAGCCAAGGACAATCCACTCCTAGCCAGCTGTGCTGAGGTGAGGACCCTTAAACAATGCCAGCTATCTTGGAAATGGTTCCGTGTGTCTTTTTTTGCCTGCATGTGCTAGGTAAGATCTGTGCCTCTGAGCTGCCCTCTCAGCCCCTGAATTAGTTATTCTAACACCATTTGTTGACTTTCCTTTATCTGGAATCATGCTGATAAACTTGCTAAAGTCAGTGTATGAATGGCTTTGCTGCCTGAAACTGTATTCACGGTAGTCACTGCCCCTCTTTAGGACGGTGTAACGTATCTTAAATACTAGTCTTTAAATTTTTTCTTTTTCTTTTTGTTTGGAGACAGGGTTTCCCTGTAGCTCCAACTGTCCTGAATTCACTAGGTAGATCAGGCTGGCCTTGAACTCACAAAGATCTGCCTGCCTCTGCCTCCTGCTGGGATTAAAGGCATGCACCACCATACCCGGGCAGAAATAGTTCTGTTTTAACAGTCTAGAATTGGGGTTGGATCCAGTTTCTTCCCTACTTCACAGCCCCCTGACTGTTGAAAGAGGTGAGAAAGGTTCACACTGAGGCTTTGGGATGTGGTTCTCAAAAGATCTATGCCTGTCCCTTATTAGAGGTACCCAGGTGAAGCATCTGATGCCAGCCAGCAGAGGGCAAACAGGGGAACTCTATGCAGGCCAGGCAGAAGTTGGGGCATGATGAGTCATATTCATTTTCAGACCACCTTTCTCAGTGGTCATCTTTTCCTGCCTGTTGTGACCCTGTGGTCATTATGGAGTATTCTACCCCTGGCTTTGCCACCCCCAGTGCCCCAGCTCTGTTATCCTATAGGGCCACCACTTACCCAGGGGAACATGCCCTCTGGCCACCACTTACCTAGGGCAAACCTCTCAACCTCCTAAACATCAACGGGGAGCAGTGACCTCCAAATGTATTGCAAAGAACCCACACTCTTAGCGGTCATTCCTCACCATGAGTAGGCACAACTGTTTGGTTAAAACACTACAGTACATAAAAACAAAAACAAAACAAAACAAAAAACAAAACAAAAATTAAGAAATTAGAAAAATCTGAAAACTTGGAGCATGAAATAAAAAGAACTTAAACATAATTACTTTTTAAAAATAAGAAAAATCGAACAAAACACACGACAAATCAAAACATAAAACACAATGGTTTATGGAGAGAAAAACAGTTTTAGACAATGTAGTAGAGACAGAAAAAACATGGTGAGAAGAAAAGCTGATCCAGTAGTCCTGAGCAGGTGTGTGGAGCTAGGGCAGGTCAGGCACAGGTTCCCTATGGTATTATGAGGCTCCTGAGGTATCTCCTAATGCTTAAGATGCCTGGTGTGAGAGCAAGCAAGTGAACAAGCAAGTGTGAAAAGCTGGCATAATTGCAAGGCCACACCTAGAGAGTAAGCAATAGCTGAGTTCCTGTGGGTCTCACTGCCTTCTTCCTAGGGCACAAACACTGGCAGAACAGTTAGATAGGTCACCAGCACCCCTGTGTTTCAAAGACACACTTATTGCCTAGAACAAGAGCAGAAGCAGCAGGTCACTTTTGGACAGAGCTGGCAGCATACAACACCCCTTGTAGGCAAGCAAGACACAGGCTTAGAAGCTGAGAGGAGCAGGAGGAAATATCAGAAGCCCTTGACACTAAATCAACTAAGTCTAGGTTCAGGGGCTTGGCCTGTGGATATGTCCCCCAGTTGCCTTTATGGGGAACCTTTCACCAGACTCAGGATCACCTCCTCCCCAGTCACCCTTATCTGGCAATGTGTTGCAGCTGCCTTCTAGGCAGTCTGAGAACACACATGTGCAGCAAGTGACTGAATGAATGACCTGAGGTGGTCTTTTCTGGGCTCATGTGTTTGGAGTTCATATCTGGGGAAATGTAGTATCTGCCTTCTCAGCTGTGGCTGAGGATCTATGACCAGAGACAAGTGAAAAAGAGCCCAGGGTAAGAGCCTGGACTCACAGGCCACATAGACCAATAAGGGTCCACTTTGACACCCACATCTCCTGACACCCTAGCTCTGTTTCTCCACCTTTATCCCATGTCAGAGGAGGGTGAACTAACCCAGGGAAAGCAACAGAGACTGGAATCCCTTGAAAGGACATGGGACACCAGTAGTTGGGGGACCCTCACTACACACATGGCTACAAAACCTGGTAGCTGGAGCTGGATTGCAGCTGGCTGAGGTCACTCAGGTGCCAGTGGTCCCCCGCAGGCATGAGCTTTCCCCCCATCTGTGCACGTACCATACCGTCGGCTAGGGGGAAGACATTCAGAGAGGTAGGGCGCTCCTTTCTGCTGCATGGGAAGGAGAGAAGGACAGGAAGTAGATGGTTAGATAGTGCTATGAGAGAACCTGAGCCCATTTCTTGGCAGAGACACTGGTGGATGACAATGCTTAAAGTGACACCCTGTTCTCAGCTGCTAAGCAGCTATTTCCATATATCTGAAAACTGACCCTTAATTAGGACCCATGTATCTTCCCTTTCTATCATGCTCCAATTTAACATTTTTAATTAGTTCAATTTTATACAGAAATGCACTGTATCAGCACTAGCAATCCCACAGCCACACCAATGACAAGACCTTTAGCATCAAGGCTAGCAATGATCAATGGCCTTAAGCGGTAACATGTACGTATGTATGTATGTATGTATGTATGTATGTATGTATGTATATATTTACTTAATTACGTATACAAGTGTTTTGCCCTGTATGTATGTAACTGCACTATGTGTGTGCAGTGCCTGCAGAGGCCAGAAGAGGGTATTGGATCCCCTGGAACTGGAGTTACAAATGGTGGTCGTTAGCCACCATGTAGATGCTGGGAACTGAACCTGGGTCCTCTGGAAGAACTGAAAGTGATCTTAACTGCTGATCCATCTCTGCAACTTTAAAAAATAGCAACTTTTAAAAGGATGAAGCCCAGACCTAACTCCAACTCTTGGGTCAGCAAAGGACTCAGTGCGTGCATGTGTGTGTGTGTGTAAGCCAGAGGTTACTGAAGCTGGAACTCACCTATTGGCTAGACTGGCTGGTTAGCAAAGCTCTGGGGATCTGACCCCCAATCTAGCCATCTCCCCAGTCTCTTCACATGACTTCTCTGTGACGGACTCATTAGGTAGACCAGGGTGGTCTTGAACTCACAAGAGGTCAACTTGCCTCTGCCTCCGAGTGCTGGGAGGTGTAAAGGCATGTGCCACCACACCCAAATTCTGTGAAATGCTTTAACAGGACAAAACAAGGAGCACCACTGTCTGCTAAAGGCTGTGAGATAGGTGTCTTTTTTCTATATATGCAGCTCACCAACCCCACTCCAGCTGCCACTGCTGAAAGAGGCATATTCTTTGAGGCTCTGCTAACAGACCTAGAGTATCTGGTAGTCTGAAAGTGAAGATCGAAGCTCAATGGACCTATGTGGGCCCAGGCCCAAGAAGACTCTCCATGGGCCATTAATAGTAAACAGCAGTGGAGACAGAGCCCACATCCTTGCTCAAGCCCTCCTCTGTCAGAGGCTGCTAACCAGGAAGGCTTTGGGCACATAAAGATCCAGGCAATACCACTATCCTAGAGCTGAGTGCTCACATTGTCAGAGCTCTTCAAGTTAAGCATTAGTATCTCCTGAGGCCATAGCTTCTGATGCTTGGTGCTTAGCCCCTGGCAACATTGAAGTGGAGGTATAGGTGAGAGGTGCTGCCCCGGCGTCTCAAGGAGCCTGGTCTAAAGGGCAACACATACGATGTGAAAGCAGATGTGGGTTTGCTCCTTGCTGTGTGGTGGATGCCAAGGATGAAGAGAAGGGTATATAACAGTGACATGCTCAGGGGACCTGCCAGTGGTTGGCTGGGCAGCTTGAGAAAAGAAGTCTGGGTAGGGGTTTCTTGGTAGGAATTGGTCAGTTAATCTGTCCTGCTCAAAACAACAGTCTCTTGCAGGGAGCGGACCCTTGGTACTTGCTGGGACCTGGTTAGTAGCTAACCAAGGCAGGGACAGAACCAGAGAGGCAGGGTGCTTCATGAGGAGGACTATGGTTTGGGATAGTGGATGCACACTCAGGGCCAAGGCCTAGCTGGATAGCATTCCCCAGTGGCTGGCCACATGACTCCTTTACACAGGGCATGCTGGGCCTATCATTGTGAAGCAGAAAGAGCTCAGGTGCTAATCCCCAGTAGAGTTGGATAGCTCATAAGCAGCTTGTCCGCCAAAACCCTCCTGGCTCAACTGTACTGACAACAGCCCATAAGGGTTAGACTCTTGGGCCCCTGAGAAGGCAGCACAGCCAGGGAGTGGGGTAGGGACTTATCAGCCCTGCCTGCTCCAGCAGGTTCTCAGCTTCCTTGCCCACATTTTGCCTCCTTTGGAAAAACCTTGAGAATCCAGTTCTAACCCCATTAAGTACTTATATTCATGACCCTGGGTGAGAAGCACATGTGTCCCTAGGCCCCAAGCCAATCATGCCATCCCAGCCGGTATCAGATGCTACACGATGAGAAAAGGGGAGGTGGCTCTTGTTTCATGGTATGGGGTAATACACACACTGTACACTACTGACTCCACAGCTTGAGATGTCTCTATTAGTCCACCACTTCCCAAGTCAGAACAAGCTGGAACTTCAGCCACATGCTGCTCAGTGGCTGGAGTCAACAACATGATTTATTCTGTGAAGAGGGCAGATGTTTCCTGAGTGTGGGACAGAACTTAAGTGGGCCTGAACAACTCTGGGAACTCTTGCCCTTTCACCCTGCTTTGTGGATGTTCTGGGGTCTCTAACAAGTCTGTACCTTATACCTCCTCAGTCTTGTGAATGTACCTGGCAAATACTTCTGATCAACAACACTGGCTGGCAGAAGGTATCCTGATGACTATCAAGGAAGTGTGTGCTTGCAACCAAAGTAATCACTGGCCTAAGTGTCTCTTCAGACAATCTCAATCCCCAGAGACCCCAGCACTGCAGTGGACAAAGACCAGCAGGCTTTACCTTTTCCTCCATGACTGGCGGGGACTGCAGGCAGCAACAGACACAATGGCCAGCACACAGCAGCGACAGAACAAAAGGCAGGACAAGAAAATCACATTAGAGAGTGAAGAGAGTCAGGCCGGCTCCTGTGCACGGTGCTCAAAGGGAAAGCATGTGTATGACGACAGTGAGACATCTAGGAGTCAGTCCTGTGCTCCCCTCTTCACAAATGACAACAGTTACATAACATCTGTAGGAACAGACACATGGTTTTGACAACATCCTCTTGGTTTTGATAAGAGACCCTAGAATGGGACTTAGTGTGATGGGCACAGGTCTTGTCACAAATACCTAGCACATAGGATGGCAGAGAACAAAGACACACGGGCTCCCACCCACATCTGCAGCAATGGTCCAGAACAGCAGATGTTTGCGCTTCCACTGAATTTACTCCACAGACATGCAGACTCTGAAAACCATGCCAGGAGTGTAGGAAAAGGCTACATGCATCACAAGCAGATAGTAGCTTAGACTCAGGAAGAATGAAGACCATGTAAAGTCCTTATGGGGAGCTGGGAGAATGTGAGCTCAGAGGGGACCAATTTAAATATCTACCCCAAAGGACAAAAAGTATCTTTCTACTTCAGCCCAAGGACAGAGCAGCAACAATGCTGACAGATGGTCCCTACCTGTGAGGGTGCACACCTTTGGGATGGAGGAAAGGGTTTTCTTCAATTCAACTAGCCATTCCTCTAGATAACAGGTCAAGGTGGTTGTTGTCCATGCCTGAGGCCCTGAACTATCCTGTCCCCAGCTGGGGTTTGGGTCACTAGACACAGAGAAGCTTCTTAAAACTGCTCAGCAGTAAGTGGACAGATTTGCACTAGGGAATGTCTGGGGACACTGACTTGACACAGTGGGTCTTAACACCCAGGACAGAGTTCGTGTGTGTGGGGGGGGGTATGGGAGGGTTCTGGTGGGGTCAGAGCTATAAAGATGATTCAGATTGTTTGAGATATTCTGTATGAAATACAACAAAATTTAATAAAACAAATTAAAACAACAACAACAAAAAACTGCTCAGCAATGACAAGGGGAACTGAGTCTTTTGTTGGCTACTGAGGAACTTCAGTGGTGCCAGGCAGGCTAAAGGTCCAGAGCTGAGGCATTGACCATCCTCCTCCTATCTCTACAAGCCTGGCAACAGGCATCATTCTCCTCTGCTGTGGAGACTAGCAATGGAGTCAGGAGACTAAGGCAATGTAGTTGTTTATACCTTTGCCTTGAGGAGCCCATCAGATCAGGTCAGGCATCCAGGGCTTTGAGGTCAGTAAACAAGAAGCCTCATTCTATCCTGAATAGGCTGAGGAACCCACTTCCCCAAAACAGAAAAGGCTATGAAGGTTTCTTGGGGCTTCTACAAGGCCCTATGCTGTCTAGCTGACACAGAGGGCCACAGTCAGAGACTCACAGATCCACTTCTCACGAAACAAGACTTGCTAGCCCAACAACTGGCAGTTTGGAATTTTGGAATTCAGTACTTCTACCTTTCAGGTATAATAAATTGCCAGAGTTATATCTCACTAAAACTCCTCCCACAATGCCTCAATAACTTGTGTAGCGCTCAGGATTTATTCAAACTGCCTGTGCCCTGTCCACAGACCAGCACTTATAAGTGTTGGAAACTATTTCCTGAAGCAGCACCAGCACCATGTCAGAGAGCGTGCTGTCAACCCTTTCCTACCTTCCTCATGCACATGTGCATTTTCATTTTCATGTCAAAGGTTCTAACATACAGCACAGAACAGCTTTGCCAGTAACTCAGAAGTGTCTGACAAAGCTCTTGAACCTTCTTGTTTATAGATATAATGCACAGAACAGGCAAGGAGAATGCAGCTTTTTTTTTTTTTTTTTTCGGTCTTTTTGAGACAGGGTCTCCCTGTAGCCCCAGTTGGCCTGGAACTCACTATGTAGACGTGGTTGGCCTGGAACTCACAGAGATCTACCTGCCTCTGCCTCCCGAATGCTGGGACTAAAGGCATGCTCCACCATACCCTGCTGAACAGGGGTCCACAGAACAGGGTTGCTGCCTGGTTCAATTTATGGTTCTGAGGATTCTGGTTTCTAGCCTTCCTCTCACTTCATGGTTGTCTTCTCTGGTTACCCACCAACTCTGGTCTGGTATATCTGCCCAAGAAGCATGACTGCCCAACAGGCTAACTGGCAACAGTGGCTAGGCAATACCTTGTTAAGACTGTTAATACTTGTTCTCTATGATCTGAGGCCCAGGGTACAGATATTGTGACTCAGACACAGAAAATGAGAAAGAGCCTGGACTCAGCAAGCTTTTTCCTGGTCCTTGAGCAAAACCAGCATCAAATCTTAAACTTGGGATAAGCAGGGGCCTGGGGATCTGTGGGCATCATCCTGCCCTGCAGAGGAAATGAAGCTCTGGGGTAGGGTTTGTGCGAGGTGGTCCATCATCTTTCTGTGTAACTGGTTAGGGATAGCATGTTCTAGAGCAGAAGTGTTCAACTTTTTTTAAAAAAATATTTTATTTATTATTTTTATCTGTATAAGTATATTGCTTGCATATATGTGAGTGCACCCGTGTCGTGCAATGCCACGGAGGTCAGAAGAGGGCTTTGGATTCCCCTGGAACTGGAGTTAAGGACGGTTCGTATCTGCCTTGCGGGTGCTGGGAATCGAGCCCAGGTCTTCTACAAGAGCAGTCAGTGCTCTTAACCACTGAGCCATCTCTCCAGCCCCATGTTCAACTTTTTGACATTGCTGTATGATGTTATCATCTACAAATGTATTTGGACTGCATTCATAGCTATCCATTGGATGAATGTGGCTTGGGCCACAGATTGGACACATCTGTTCTAGAATGTCCTCAAACATGGATTAAGAACACTAAACCACAATATATATTATAAATAAACAAACAAGGGAAGAAGTATTGGGTGACTGGTTAAAGTCCTCTTTGCTTCAAAGCCACCTTATCAAGCCAAGGTTTCTACATGCTTCTGACAGGATGCTGTCCAGCCCCTCCAGAACCTTCCACTGGCATCCCATGGGGGCTCAGACAGGGGATCAGAACACCACTTGGTTCCACCTTAGTCAAGAATCTGCCACTGACTCAAATCCCATGTACACAAATAGCTGTGAAGAGCTGTGAAGGCACTGTGAGCATTGATTGTGAGGTTTCGAATATATTTTAGTGAGTAGGCAAGTTTGTAAAACTGGAATCCAAGAAGACCAAGGACTATGTACAATTTTCCTGCGCCTCAGATGCAGATCTGGGATCGAGCAGAAGGCACAGGCCTGCAATTAGAGCAGAAGCCAGAGCCACCTTCGTGTACGCTCCTGCCCAGCACCCCTGCCACATCCTCTTCCTGCCCACCAAGCCCTGCTCACCCAGCCCTCCTACCTCCGCCCTGGCAAACTGCTTTCTGTCTGGCCGCTCCCCCCGACCTGCTGCATCTTGGATCTTTCGATGTGCTCCACGTAGGTCTGAATCATCTGTGAAGAGGAGCTTCCTGTTAGTGCCCCAATGCTATGGTTCAGAAACAATATGCTCAAATAAAAACAGCTCAATTCAAGATGCCGGAGATGGCACAGCAGTTAAGAGCATGCAGAGGATGTGAATTCAATTCCTAGCATCCATATCAAAAAGCTCACAACTGCCTGTAACTCTAGCTCCAGGGCATACAACACCTCTGGCCTCCGTAGGCACCCCCTACTCATGTGCACATACCCATATACAGACACTCACAATTAAAAATAAAATAATATTTTAGAACCCAGCTCTTTCAAGGAACAAGGATCTAAGGAACATGAATGGACAGATTTCCACCAAACAGTGGAAGCATTAGAAGGTGTAACCAAAGGTCAGTAACAAATGGCAGGTGTAGCCTCAACGGCTCATATTTACTTGTACCCCAGGGTGGGTGCCCACTACCACTTACCTCTGTGTGCCGCTGGTGCAGTGCATTGTACTCCTTCTTCATCTCTGACTCCCGCTCCTCCAATCGGGAAACTACAAAACACAACCACTGTGTCAGCTGCGCAGTTCTCCCTGAATATTCAGTATATATCCTTTGGACTATCACCAACTCTGGCATGTGGTACAGGCACCCTGTACTAAAGAGGGTTGTCTTATTGAAAGCACTAGATGTAGACTGTAACTGGCTGGTCTGGGTGGCCTGTGGTATGTACTGTAAATGTGAGAATGCTTGGTTGTGTTGAAAAGGAAATCAGGATGAGTGGAACTCAGGACAGCTAGGGGCTTCTAAAACATAGGGAATATTCATATGATCTGACAAAAGTGAGAGCTGAGGCATGGTTCATTGCAGAGCATTTGCCAAGCATGCACAAGACTCTGGGTTCTATCACCAACACCCACAAAATAAATAAATAAACCTTTTTTATTTATTATTATTTTTTGGCCTTTTTGAGACAGTCTCCCTATAGCCCCAGCTGGCCTGGAACTCACTACGTAGACCAGGCTGGCCTTGAACTCACAGAGATCCGCCTGGCTCTACCTCCTGAGTGCTGGGATTAAAGGTGCGTGCCACCACACCAGGCATTTTTATTTTTTTAAGAAGTAAAAAACTGGTGTAAAGAGACAAAATTCAAATGAGTAATCTGAGACATGTTAAAGACTTGCACATCAGAAGTATGTGATAAAATGAACAGCATTCCTTACATCAATCAAGAGCTGACCATGTCACCTATAGGCTGCCAGCCAGATCTCCCAAAACTGGTGGCCCCTGATGACACCCAGAATGATCCCCTCTGAGCTAGTATGTACCTATCCAAGAAGCATAACTGTCCAACAGGCTAACTGGCAGCAGTGGCTGGGTAATCTGTCCCTTTGTTCTACCAATGGAGCCAGGGCCCTTGTGTCTGCAGCTCTGTCCTACCCTGTCCCTCTGTCCTTGCAGCCCACTAAGTGATGATGACCAACAGGACAAAACAGGACATGTGACACTGTCATGTCCTGGATCCTGGGTAGCAAGGTCCTCATTGGCTCTTACTTGTCCTTAATGACAGACCCACCTCACCTTCTCTTGGCCTCCTGATAGCTGTTCTAAATTGATTTAACAGGTTACATGCCTCCACATTTTATTTTAGTCCATGCTGTGTTCTGTGACCTGGGAATAGGCTGCCAGGTGGTGTCTGTGGAGGCTATTACTGCTCAGCCTGCACCTGCATATTCATGGTAGTATGAAGATCTCTTTCTGAGGTGCAGTACAAGCATCAGCTAAAGGCAAAGTCAGTTCTATTCTTTCTTGAAGGAGTCCAAAGCGTGGGCATCAATGCCCAACACACATAAGACCCAGGGCCATCAGCACATGACACACATGGACCCACAGATGTCAGTAGCAGTATTCAATGCACACAAACCCAGGGAAATAAACACCCAAGAGATACCAACATCCAAAGTTTGTGACTTAGAAGACACCAGTACCTAACATATATGTAACCTATACCCAACACCCAACACAAACATAAATTATACACTGGCATGGACACATGTGAGTTATAATAAACACCAGCACCCAAGGCACACATAACTTATAAACACTGATGCATAACACATGTGACTTATACTTACTGACACATAGCACACACTTAAGTAGCTACCCGTCTATGCATTTGCCCCTGGAGAAAACCAAAGTACCAAACCTCAGGACCTCCCTGTGGCCTACTGCCCTAGTATTTGATAGCTGCTACCTGGCTGAGAGATTCTTATCTGGCTTGATGCTTACACAGAGAATCGCCACCTAGTAATCTGAGGTGGCATTATTTTCCTTTCTAAGAAAAGAGCCAATAAGTTTTCACATGTGAGATTATTCTAAGCAAAAGAAGTATCACAGTGGCTGCATAAATCAAAAGTTTTATTGTACAGGCCTATAAAACAGGCCTTTCGATTTCCTTCTCGATTGCAAATACTAGCATGTACAGAAGCCATCTGCCTACTGCTCACCCTTGGGCCAATCTTAGCAGGATATTAGCTCAGCACAGTAGCCTCAAGTCTCAGTGTGGGATAAGGTCAGGCCCACTCTATTAAACCAGTCACCCCTGCCTCAAATAATTTCTCAGAGAAACGAAGGCATCTGCCTTCAAAGGTAAACAAATAAGTGGCAAATGTACTTCACTCACTAAAACATTAAATTACAGAAAAGTAATATTGAGTGGACAACTATAACATTGACACTACAGTTTAAGATCCACAAAGAACAGTCACTCCTCAGCAGCATGAGGACTCAAGGCCACAGTGCTTTTTTCTATAGAACCACAGGAGGACCAAGGATGTGCACACTTGTCATTTTAGGGTTATATTATGCTATGAAGCAAAAGTGCAGTGTTAGGACAGGGTTTTTACTTCTCCTATTTACAAAGGACCTGAGGCTGACTACAGAAACATCTAACTGTGTGAAGATATAGAATAAGCGGTTGGGAATTAGGGTGAAAAAAATAAGGCCATAACTTGCCTGTTTCTAATCTCGCTCTCTTTTTTTAAATCAAAGGTATTCTTTCCAAGATCAGTCTTAGAACTCATGTACACACAACTCATGGTTCCTGCAAGTCACTTACTCTGATCTGAGTAGTTTTTGGCCTTCAGCTCCAGCTGGCGTGTCTGAAACTCATAGTGCTCCACCTGAATTTGGAGCTCTTTCTTCTCTTGTTCCAAGGCATCTTCAAATTCGATGAATTTCTATGAATGGGAAAGACAAAAAGCAAATGTGCTGAGTGTGTGCTGGTGACAGCAGCTCTTCACATGAAAGAACCCAAGAGGCCAGAGGCACAGCTGGGCCTCAAGTTGGCCAGTGGTGAGGCCAGAGTGGGGGTTTCCCCATTCTAGACCCTGGCTCCTCACCCCTTCATGGTACCTGCCCATCTGCAGACACATGTCAGAGATAAGCCCTAGGAATACTAAAGAGGAATATCCCAAGACTGAGTAACTGGAACCTTTGGCCAGCTAATGCCATTTACAAAGGGCTGTGAATTCTGCCTTCACATACCTTTCAGGGCCTCATAGGAAGGCCCATGATCAGTTAATGCCTGGAAATTTTCAGTAAGTTTTGAACATAATGCTCCATAAATTATGTGGCCCATCCTTTTTGCAGCCCAGTCAATATTAAATTTCTAACCAAGGGAAAGGCTGCTTTCCTCTTAATTTGCATTTCAATCACTCCAGAGCTCTGGATTTATCATTGCTGGACTGAGAACACTAAGCATCATGCAATAGTCCTTGAAAAACCCCAGACCAGGAGGTTTCTGAACCAAACGATCATCAACTGAAGTGAAAAGAAACCACTCTACAAAATCAGAAACACTCTTGCCAGGTCAGTGAAGAAGTAGTGGTGGTGTGGACACAGCCTCTGTTAAGGGCCAAGCCAGGTGGGTGACACTGTGCCACCAAGTATGATTTGTATAGCACTGAGTGTTGAGGAGGGAGGTGTGTGGAAGTACTAAACAGGAAACTGGAATACAATCAAGAAATCTAATCTGGAAGAAGCATAAACACCAAGTGGGCTCTAAAGATACAAAAAGCTTCTCAAAGGATGGGAACATAAAACTGACAGTGGACTTTAGGCTTAGGTGTCTGGCCAATACCATGTTTCATGTAATGACCCACTTGCTCCTGCTCCACAGCAGTCTGATGTCCCTCCTGCTGCAGCCTGTCCAAGGTCTTTGTGCTATAGCACTGGGTTCCCATGAAGGATGGAAATGACTCATCCCTGTGCAGCCAGGGAGGGTAGAAAACCCCAAAGGAGGGGTGGGAGGGGCTAGCAGGGAAGAGAATGCAGTTAGAAGGAAGTCTGCATAGGATTAAGGAAACTGCACATAAGTAAACTGAAGGAAGACTACCCCATAGCCAGCAAAATACAGCAGTGTGTGTGCGTGTGTGTGTGTGTGTGTATGAACCCTGATATAGAAACAATGAGGGTAAGTGACTGAATCAACAGGATACAACCACCATATGAAGAACACATAAACATTATCAACTGATGGATTTCCGTGTAATGGCTGGAGGTGCTGAGGTTTGTTTCTTGTACTTAAAAATCAAGCATACAAGCCCAGTGAGATGGCTCAGCAGGTAAAGGAACTTACTACTAGGCCTGATGATCTGAGCTTGATCTTTGAAGGAGAGAACCAACTTCCAGTTATCTTCTGACCTCCACACGTGTGCTGTGGTATACACACACACACACACACACACACACACACACACACACACACACACTAAATAAATAAATAAATAAATAAATGTAATAAAAAATTAAATACCTTTAAAATTAAGTATATACTCTGCTGGTGAGCTATATCCCTAGAGCAAGATTTTTTTTAATTAGTATTTTTAATTTCTATTATTTAAAAAAAGTAAAAAGAGCTGGGCATGTTGGCACACGCCCTTTAATTCCAGCATACAGGAGGTAGAGGCAGGTGGATAGCTGTGAGATTGAGGCCAACTTGGTCTACATAGAGAGTACCAGGTCAGTTGGAGCTACAGGGAGACCCTGTCTCAAAAAGATTAAAAAAAAAAAAGTGAAAGGAATTATACAATTGGGTTTGTAAAAACAACATAACAAGTGTTATGTCAAAAGAAGAATAGGGAACAATGAGATGGTTCAATGGGTAAAGATACTTGCCACCAAGCCTGACAATCTGAGTTCTATCCCCAAGACCCACATGGCAGAAGGAAACAATTCCCACTGGTTGTCCTCTGACCCTCACAGGCTTGCTGTGGCACACATACATGCATGCATGTACACAAAATACATAATTAAAAAAAGAATATTGAAAAACAAATCCCACCATTTAGAGAGTTCAGTAATTTTGTGAGATTTATATATTTGCATGTGTGCTTCCCCCCAACCCTTTTCATTTTGAGAAAGGGTCTCATTATACAGCCCAGGCAGTCCTCAAACTTATGATTCTCCTGCCGTGGCCTCCAGAGTAATGTATTTATAGGTATGTACCACCATGCCTGGCTCAGATCTTTTCATTAAACTGTTTCTGTTCCACAGTCAGAGACTCATATAAATAGGGTGGCAGGGTATGGTAGCATATGCCTTTGACCCCAGCACTCAGGAGGCAGAGGCAGGTGAATCTCCATGAGATGGAGGCCAGTCTGGTTTGTATAGTAAGTTCCAGGCCATCTGGGGCTATAAGGAGACCCTGTCTCAAAATACCCAAAACAACAACAACAACAACAAAACAAAAAAGAATAGGGTGGTTTGCTGACAGTGCTGCTTCACTAGAACTTTCCCCATCTTTATTTTATGATAATACCTGCATTAGATATTTGGGAGTCAGCTGAAAGATTTCCAAACTAAAAAGACAAGGGAGGAAATCTGCCCCAAAGGGCCCCAGGTCAAGATGAAATTTGTTATATGCACCACAGTTTGTAATTTATTTGAAACTGTCATCTGTCTAGTCAAGATGCCTTGTGATACAGAAGGAAAACACATCTATGTCTTGCTCCTGTAGTCTAGATCCCCAGTGTCAATCTAAGATTGCTTTAAGATACACTTCTCCCTCTTTCCCACAAGCAAAGCACCCATTTTAATAAATTTAACTTTTGTGTTCAGAATTTGCTGTCTGGTATATTTCAATACACATATTAAAAAAATCTGACAGCACAGACTCTTCTAAAATCTAGTAACCCAAGTAAGCTTTTCTTAGAATTTCAAGGCATGAGATTGCTCTTCCAATTTCATAAGTAAAAAGTAAAGTGAAAAAGTCAACAGAATTTTCCTGTCAAACATAAAATCAAGATAACACAGAAGTCAGTGTTCAGGACCCCTGGGATGCAGAGTGCTGGCCTGGGCAATCTTTCTCACAATGGACTCAAGGGGGTGTTGTAGCTTTCCTAACCTAACCATGCTTTACTGGTAAGGTAACTAACATTTTATATTTAACCCTTCTCTCTTGCAGTCCTGTGGCCCAGAGTCACCCATAGGAACTCATTCAACCCTGGCTAGTCTGTAGGTTCTTCTGCATTATTGACAGGGAGAGGAGAGGGAGTGAATTTCCAAAAGAAAAATGTACCTTATTGGTCTTTTGTCTTAAGTAGGCAGACAGGCAAAGAAACGGGAGCAGCTTGGGCTTCAGAGCTCAGACAAGATGCCCTACCCAGTACCAATAGGGGTTTCTATCAGGTATTTAGCAAGGGCTGGCTGGGGCAGCAAACCTTAACCATGGATGTTCCTTTACAGCCAACTTTCTATTTCCTACAGCTTATAATTACTTAGGTCCAAAACACAAAAGTGCAGGTCCTTGGGGGGGGGTAGGTGCTGTACTTACAGACACTGTTTCCAAGGCCCACTAGGTAGTACATGGGGAAAGACAGAGACATTTCTTTCTTTCTCTCTTTTTTTTTTTTTTTTTTTTTTTTTTTCTTTTCGAGACAGGGTCTCTCTGTAGCCCCAGCTGGCCTGGAACTTGCTATGTAGACCAGACTATCCTGGAACTCACAAAGATTCACCTGCCTCTACCTCCCAAGTGCTGGGATTAAAGGCATGCGCCACCATACCCAGCACATAGAGACATTTCTTTTCTATAGTCAAGTATTAGACGAAGACTAGTGATCTGGTCAAAGCTCAGGAATATAGCAAGTTTTCCTCAGGTTCAGGCTAAAAACAATTGATCCATCCAATATCCATCTGAAATACCACAACTAGTTAAATGCACTGATTTTTAGGACTGGTAATCAAAAAGAAAGAAAACAAACTCACTACATCTGGTATTCGAGGCCAGCCTGGGCTAAAAGAGACCTTGTCTTTAAAAAACAAACAAACAAACAAAAAAAAAAAAAAAAACCCAGAAAACTAGATGTGATAGCTCATGCCTATAATCTGTGTCCTTGGAAGACCAAGACAGAACTAATGGCAAGTTTAAGGCCAGCCTGGGTTACAGAGTAGGACCCTGTCTCAAAAAATTGGGAAAAAGAGAGTGTGAGAGGAAGAACAAGAAAGAAGAGAAAAAAATTGTCAATACCAAGGAAAGTATAAACACAAAGTTGAAACTAAAATCTAACTGTCCCATAACTTATGAAAAATCTCCTTGGGTAAAAAAAAAACCAAACAACAACTCTTTTCAAGTAAACTTTAACTTCTGCAGTTGTCTTCCTAGTTCTGGATGGTTTAATTCTTTAAAGAAAACAAAAAACAAAACTCTTGTATTGTTAATTTTGTGTGTATGTGTAGGTCCCCAGAGTCCAGAAAAGGGCATCATCTCCCCTGGAGCTAGAGTTACAGGTGGTTGTGAACTGCTCAACATGGGTGCTGGGACCCAAACTTGGGTCCTCAGCAAGAACAATACACTTATAACTGCTCAGCCATCTCTCTAGCTACCTGGCTGGGTTTTTTTTGGCTGGTTTCTTAAGCTTCCTAATTTGGTCCAGCTTCACCCCTATCACTGTACAGCTGGGAAGATGACTCTGTGGACAAAAGTGCCAGCCACACAAGCCTGACAACCTGAGTTGATCCACGGAACCCACAAAAAAGCTAGATGTGGCATTGTGTACTTGAGGTGAAATGAGAGACAGAGACCAGAGACTCTCCTGGAAGGTCTTGAGCTAGTTAGCCTGGAGTAAGCAGGACAGCAGCAGAAATGAGAGACCTGGCCTCAACAAGGTAGAAGGTGAGAAGCAGCTCTGCAAAGTTGTCCTTTGACCTTCACATGTGTGTCCATGACATGTACCTCTCT